CTGTGCCACCAGGGAAGCTCCAACGATGAGTTTATTGGGATGTAACCCCATTGTACAGTACCTAGAGAGCAGGCCCTGCTCATTGCAACTAGAGAAAAACCGTGCGCAGCAACAAAGACCCAGCGCAGCCAAAAAGTAAACAGATATATAGATGCATAATTTTTAAAAAGATGAGGCATGGAGAAAGGTGATGGGGATAAGAAAAAGGTGAGGCAATCATTCTTCACTAGTACAGCTGAGCTACAGGCTCCTTCATGGGATGCATGCTCAGAAAATGATGAAATTAGCACAGACCACTTATTATTTATTAATGACTCACGGATAACTGCCCTCAGTCTCTGTGAAATAGGTGTGTTCTCATGCCTCTCATGCCAATTGTGGGCTGAGAATGTGACGAGTAGGGTCGCACCGCGGTCAGTAAGAAGTCACGCACTGGTAGACCCCCAGCTCCTAAGGGTAAGAAACCATGTCTTATTTATTTGTGTCTAAACACTAGGGCCTGGCGCAATTTCCACCACGTGGACAGTGTTCCATAGGTGCACTTTGGTTTATTCAGCAATCTCAGCCCCTAGAATCACTGCCAGGAGCTAGGGAGGAGCACCCTTCGGTCTGGGAACAGCCCAAATAGAGGTTCTAAGCCCACTGCTGAAACAGCATTCACACCAGAGAAAAGACACCTTTCAGTGTGGGATGGAGGCTTCCTTTGGCTACCAACAGCCCCTGAAATCTTCACCGTGTTACGGCCTAGTGCATGCAGTCAGCTCCCATGACATTCATCCAGAACACCTCAGAGGCGTGTTCAGGTACCTAAAACAGCAAGCTTTATTTCCTGAGAAGTTCACATCACCCTGAACTGAAGCAAATGCAATGTTGATGTGTTCCAAGAAATGACCTGGGTTTTGCATATTTCCTGTCTGATGCAGACTTGACCCCGAGGGCTCTGCCCCACACGGGTGTGGTCAGCAGCCCAAAGGACAGGAAACAGATTACACAGGTCCCCTCAGAGGAATAAGGGGGTGGCACAGAGAATCCCCAGGTCCCACACAAATATATATGGACACTGGATAAATGTTTGATGAGTGAACGAGTGAATGAAGAATGAATAAGCAGGCTTTCTGACAGTGACTGTTGAAGCTTCTTAGAATTTTACTTGCAAGAAAAAAATCAGCCCAGGGCTTCTCTGGTGATTCAGTGGATAAGAATCCACCTGCTAGTGCAGGGCACACAGGTTCGATCCCTGGTCCGGGAAGATTCCATCTGCCACAGGGCAGCTAAGCCTGTGAACCACAACTACTGAACCCATGTGCTGCAACTACTGAAGCCCGCAAGCTCTAGAGCTCATGCTCCACAAGAAAGGCCACCTCAGGGAGAAGACCGAGCACCACAAACAAGAGTAGTCACTGCTTGCTGCAACTAGAGAAAGCCTGAGCGTCAGCGAAGACCCAGCATAACCGAATAAATACATAAACGTTAAAAATCAACCCACATCACCCACAGCTTTCTAAGTAGAGTTGGTTTACAATGTCATGTAAGTTTCAGGTATACAGCATAGCTATTCAGTTTATGTGTGTATATATATATATATATATATATATATATATATAGGGCTTCCCTGGTGGCTCAGATGGTCAAGAATCTGCCTGCCACGCAGGAGACCCGGGTTCGATCCCTGGGTCCCGAAAAGATCCCCTGGGGAAGGGAATGGCTACCCACTGTAGTATTCTTGCCTAGAGAATACAATGGACAGAGGAGTCTGGTGGGCTACAGTCCATGGGGTCGCAAAGAGTCAGACATGACTAAGTGACTAACACTTTCACTTTCAAGAATAAATATATGCATATATTTATTTACTCTTTTTCAGATTCTTTTCCCTTATATGTTATTATATAGTTATAATACAATAATGTATATATATAGTATAATAACAAAATATAATATTGAATTTAGTTCCCTGTGCTATACAGCAGGTCCTTGTTGGTTATCTTTTTTCAAATTTTTATTTATTTACTTATTTTTGGCTGTGCTGGGTCTTCATTGCTGTGTGAGGGCTTTCTCTAGTTGTGGTGAGCGGGGGCTTCTCTTCACTGTAATGGATGGGCTTCTCATTGCAGTGGCTTCTCTTGTGGCACATGGGTTTAGTTGCCCCGTGGCATGTGGATTCCTCCCAGACCAGGAATCAAACCCATGTCCCCTGCCTTGGCAGGCAGATTCCTAACCACTAGACCACCGGGGAAGTCCCCCAATTTCCATTCTTGCCAGCTGAATATGACAGAACAAATTTCTCATGTCCTCCCCAATAGTTGATGTTACTCTTTTTTCTAATCTCTGCCAATGGTTTGTCACATTTTTGCATTCATTTTGATGATTATCATTCAATGGAGTCGCTAAATCGTGTCTGACTCTTTGCGACCCCATGGACTGCAGCACACTAGGCTTCCCTGTCCATCACCAACTCCCAGAGCTTACTCAAACTCATGTCCATAGAATCGGTGATGCCATCAAACCATCTCATCCTCTGTCATCCCCTTCTCCTCCTGCTTTCAATCTTTCCCAGCATCAGGGTTTTTCTAAGGAGTCAGTTCTTCCCATCAGGTGGCCAAAGTATTGGAGTTTCAGCTTCAGCATCAGTCCTTCCAATGAATATTCAGGACTGATTTCCTTTAGGATGGACTGGTTGGATCTCCTTGCAGTCCAAGGGACTCAAGAGTCTTCTCCAACACCACAGTTCAAAAGCATCAATTCTTCAGTGCTCAGCTTTCTTTATAGTCCAACTGTCACATCCATGATTATTATTAGACTAAAATTATTCTGAGTACATTATAATTTTAGTACTTTGAATTCAACTGTTTGATATTTATTTTATAATTTTACATCTGTATTTATAAGAGAGCCAGATCTATTTTTCTGTTGTGGTGAAATATACATATCATGAAATGCCTTAAAGTGTACAGTTCCATGGCATTAAGTACCTTTACAATGTTGTACAATCATGACTGCTATCCATTTTCAGAAGCTTTTCATCATCCCAAATAGAAATTCTGTGCCCATTAAACAGTAACTCCTCATTCCTATCTCCCCCCAGCCCCTGGTCACCACCATTATATTTCGTCTTTGTGAATTTGCCTATTTAGGTGCGTCATGTAAGTGGAATCATATAATATTTGTCCTTGTGTGTCTGATTCATTTCATTTAGCGTGATGTTTCCAAGGTTTATCTTCATTGTAGCATGTATCAGTATTTCATTCTTTTTTAAGGCTGCATAATTTTCTGCATACACCACATTTTGTGTGAACACTTGGGGTCTTTCCACCTTTTGGAAATTTTTAAATAATGGTGCTATGAACATTGGTGTACAAATATCTGTTAGTCCCTATCTGCAATTCTTTTGGGTGTTTACCTAGGAGTTTAATTGCTGGTAAACCATACTGTGAATCTCTGCTTAACTTTCTGAGGAATCACTTTACTGTTTCCCATGGGAGGTGTTCAGTTTTACATTCCAGCCAGCCATGAACCCAAGTTCTCATTTCTCCACACCCTTGCCAACACTTGTTATTTTCTGTTGTATTTATTTTTTTAAATAGCTATCCCAGTGGATGCAAAGTGTTTCCTCTATTTTTGTAAACTATCCTCATTAGATTTTCATATCAAGGGTAGGCTGCCTTCTTCAGAGAATCTTTTCTTCTTTCTGTATGCTTTGGAACAGTTTTTGCTTTACTCTGCATATTTGAGATAACTTATCAGAGGAATCATCTGAGCCAGATACCACTTTTTAAGAGCTTGTTCTTTGAGGGCTTTCTCTGTTTCCTCACTGGTTATCAATATAAGCAGTTTCTCTGAGTCTTCTAGAACCTTTTGAGCTATCTTTATTTTGCTAGAAAACTGTGTGATATCGAGGATTCAGGGCTTTCTTTGTATAGATCAATGTCCTATGTGATGTTTATCATTCCTAATATTGTCTCTTTCTTCTCTCTTGATTAGTTTTCCCGTGTGTGTAGTTTTTTTTTTTTCCTTCTTCTAAGAACAAGCTCTTGGATCCTTTCAGAGTTCCTCTGCTTCTCACTTGGGGAGTGTATTGCTCTGGGAAGCCAACTCTGGGAGTCCTTCCCTCTGGGGTCCCAGTGGGGCAGCTTGTGGTCATGATGGAAGGCTTGAGCTCTGGAGCCAGATGGTCTGAGTTCAAGTGCTCATTCTTCTATTTACTAACTATCTGACCTTGAATCGATATTTAACCTCTGTGCTTCAATTCCCCCGTCTGTAGAATGGGGAGAAAAGAGTACCTACCTGACTCCTTGGAAAAGACCCTGATGCTGGGAAAGATTGAGGGCAGAAGGAGAAGAGGGCGACAGAGGAGGGGATAGTTGGATGGCATCACCGACTCAGTGGACATGAGTTTGAGCAAACTGTGGGAGATAGTGAAGGACAGAGAAGACTTGCATGCCATGGTCCGTGGGGTCACAAAGAGTTGGACCCGACTTGGCAACTGAACAGCAACAACATAAGGCTAATATTAAAGAGTGGAAGTTTGAACTTCCCTGAAGGTTCAATGGTTAAGACCCTGCATTTCCACTGCTGGGGTGGGTGGGAGGGGCATGGATGTGGTCCCTGGTCAGGGAACTAAGGTCTCACAGGCCAAAGAGTGTGACCAAAAACAAACAAAACACTGAGAGTGAAGAGCTGACAGTTTTTAAATTTTTAGAAGAGTACCTGGCATGTAGCAAGCATCATAGAAGCACTTCTTAAATAAATCTAAACTCCCCTTCCATGTGGGAGAAGCCTCGGTCCCCTGGTCCCCTCTCCATTCCACACACAGACTTTCTGCACTTTCTCACCACTTACACTGTCTCTTATTTTGCAGAACCACCTCTTTGCAGAAAAACAACCAATTTACTTTCCATTCTGCTGCCTGAGACAACCATATCCTCCTCTTACGCACACCCCAGGCTCCCATGGAGAGCTCAGGTCAGTATGGTTGGGGGAGAGGGGTCTGCAGGGTGGGGGAGGCCCCTTTTGAAGGTGAGAATGCCCCCAAGGCTGGCAGGGCCACCTCCACCCAGCCCGGCTGGGAGATCCCCACTCAGCTGCCCAAATGCGACAACATTGTTGAGACATGGACATCCATGCACTTGTACAAGTCCCAGCTGCTGGCAGACCACTGAGCTGGACATTGGGAGTAATGATAGTAAAAGCCAGTATGTATTGCCAAATACTTGCATTTGTTTAACAAAAATCTCCATGGCACTTACAATAAATCAAGTAGTAGAAAAAGCCCCTGACAAATATTAACTTGTTGAGTCTTCACAAAGATCCCACAAGACAGATAGCATTATTGCCTTCAATTTACAGAATAGAAAAGTGAGAGAGAACATGTAGATAGTATGTGGTCCAATCAGGATTTGAGATGGTGGCATCACTGACTCAATGAACATGAGTTTTAGCAAACTCTGGGAGATAGTAAAGGACAGGAAAGCCTTGTGTGCTGCAGTCCATGGAGCTGCAAGGAGTCAGACATGACTTAGCAACTAAACAACAACAGCAATCAGGATTCGAACCCAGCAATCTAGCTCCAGCATCCAGGCTGTGAATGACTTCACTGTGGGCTGCCTCATGCAAACGTCAGAAGGATTCTGCGAAGTAGGGATATCAGTACAATTGTCCTCATCTTACTGAAAGAGAAACAGGCTCAGAGAGGTTGGCTAATTTGCCGGAAGCTACACAGCTGGTTGGTGGCAGAGCCAGGATTAGAACCTAGGCCTGGGTGATTCCGAGACCCAGACTCTTCTCCCTGCACCATCCTGGGATAACAAGCAGAGATGACCCTACCTCCAAGATGTATATCAACTAATGTTCATCCAACAAGTAAGAAACCACTCCTCCCTCCACCAGGCATAGACTCTAATGTCATTGAAGACCCCTGTCTCAGAGAATGGTAGGGGACACCCCGAGGCAGGCATAGCTACCAGTTTGTTATCACTCCTAAGACAAGCATCCTTTCCACACCCGGCTTACCCTCAAAGAGCTTCATCCAATCAGAAGACGCTTCAAACAATGACTCCTCCAATGAGAAGATGCTTCAACCAGTGAATCCCCCAATGAGATGAAACTTCAACCAGTGAAGCCCCCCCCCAATGAGATGAAACTTCAACCAGTGAACCCCTCCCCCAATGAGATGAAACTTCAACCAGTGAATCCCCCAATAAGAAGAAACTTCAACCAGTGAATCGCCCAATGAGAAGAAGCCTCACCAGTGAATCTTGGTGTCTCAGTATTCCTGGTTGTCTTTAACCAGCTGGGGTTTGGGCTGGGAGGATAGGGTAGGGGAGCACTGTTGAAGTCTCCTAAATATTTCAGAATCATCTTACTTTGCACTCACTTGAATTACAGTTAAGACCCACTGTGCTGTGTTTTAGGAAGAGAGGTGTACCGATAAACTTCCTTTGGATATGAGCAATAGAAACCCATACGGTTCATTTAATATTCAAAAATATAGTGGAGCATGGAAGGAACGACTGAAGCACCAGGCAGCAGAAAAGACAAGGAACAGGATAGGAAAAGGGAGGTTTTCTCCACTCCAGTCCATCATCCACACCAGGCTCACCCAGAGGGCGAGAGCCTGTTGGCCAGCTTGGTTCTGTGCCACTCCAAGGCCAGTCTCACTGCGATTACAGTGAGTAAAGAAGGCTGCTGGGCAGGCAGGACCACCAGCATCCACTCTCAAAGATGTGACAGATGGCCCCCACCCTCCCAAAGTTCGGTGGGTGAGAGAAACTTCCCCAAATCAGGATGCTTGTCTGGGAGCGCAGAAAGGGAGTTTTCTCATCATGACCAGGACTACAGTTGTCCTGGCTGGCTTCCCAAATTACAGTGGTTTTTTATATTGCCCCACCTTCCTACAGTCCTCAGAGTCCTCTCGTCCTAGGGTCAAGAAGAGGGGCTCCGGAAAAGGAAGATGTCTATTTTGAGGGCAAAAGAGCAGTGTTTCAAGGGCACTAAAGGTATTGCTGTTTTGTCATTCCTGCAAACAGGGGCAAGATTGCAAACCTTTTAAGAACCATCTGAGCCTTTATTCCACATGCAGGGAAGGTGGAGTTCAGGCACAGGATGGAAGAGGTGCATGAACTGTATTACTCCAGTCAATGGAGTGTCTGGGTGCTGAGTACATAAATGTCAGTGAACAACTGAGGGGCTTCCCTGTGGTCCAGTGGTTAAGACTCCACACTTCCACTGCAGGGGGTGCAGCTCTGATCCCTGGCCATCCTGACCCTGGGAGCTTCGTTCTGTGTTGCATCATGTGGGATCTTTCCTTGAGGCCCGCAAGCTCTGGATCTTGTGTGCTCAGTCGTCCCACAGCGTGTGGGTTCTTAGTTCCCTGACCAGGGATGAAACCCAGCTCCCTTGCATTGCAGGTGGATTCTTAATTGCTGGACCACCAGGGAGGTCGCGACCTTCATCCTTAATTCAGGGATGATTGTCCTCTGTGAACTCTGAGCACCTTGTCGTTTCACTCCTTCCCTTACAGATCAGTTATCAGATCTCCGGACTAAGACAGTAATTCTCATTAGAATTAGGTGAATTCTGTAATCCTGCACATCAGAGTCTCCCGGGGAGCTATTTTTAAAAAATTGATTATTCGTCCCCACCCTCAGATATCTGATTGTTTTGGGCTTGGGGTCGGCTGTGCATTGGTAGTTTTGAAAGCTCTCCAGGTACTTCTGATGTGCAGCCAAGGTTGGGAACTAGGGGAAAAGACAACACCCAAGAGTAGGTTGGGGAGAGATTGGATTGTCTAGGATCGCGGGGCAACAGAGAGCTGGCACTGCTGTCCTCGGTCAGCTCTGAATGGCCGGAAATTGAGGAGCAGACCCCAAACTAGGGGGTCCCGCCACAGTCAGGACCCTATCAGCTTTTCTTGTCCTTTCTTTCCTTCCTATTGTCTCTTTAGCTGTGATAACATCTACGCTGGTGGGAGAGCTGGGAACCGGTGTGTATGCGTGTGTGTGGTTTGTCTCTCCACTTTCTTTTCTATTTATTTAACTTTTTAATTTTCTGGCCATGCTGCATGGTACTCGGGATCTTAGTTCCCCAACCAAGGGTCGAACCCAAGGGTCGACCAAGGGTCAAGCCCCCTGCAGTGGAAGCTTGGATTCTTAACCACTGGACCACCGGGGAGATTCCATGGGAAATTTTTTTCAGGCAACTTCATCAGGGGCATTTATTTGTGCATTCAAACCCCAGGCACACAAAAGTAGACACATGCCCACAGTCTCACCTGGGTACACCCTCTTCTCTTTCCCCAGTGAAGAGGTGAATGGTCACACGTAAGATGACAGCTTTAAAGGAAGATTGGCAAAACAGAAAGCTATGCTCTAGCTGCTCTGTGACCTTGCAAAACTTGCCTCTCCCCTCTGAGCCTCATTTCCTCATCTGTGAAATGGGAAGAGAGTCAGCTCCAGGGCCCCTCTGGGTCTGACCTTCTGCAGTTGGGGAGGTGGCGGGGGTAAGGGTCAGGTCTGTCCCTCTAGATTGCTCAAAACAGGAAGATCAGTATTTGTTCTGTCAAACTCACAGGTCTCTGCCCAGAACCCAATGAGACAACACACCAGAGAACACTTTGTATGTTCCTGAGTCAGAGAACAGTAGCTGCTATAACAAATGACCCCAGTGTCCGTGGATCAACACAACAAATGCTTATTTCTCACTCATGTGGCTCCTCAATACGGGTTACAGTCTTTCAGGGACTGAGATTTCTTTCCTCTTAGGGACCATCACCATTTCTTCCAAGCTCATGGAGGACAGGGCAGAGGGTTTTATGGCCACACCTGAAAATGCCACATACCACGTCCACCACATGCCATTGGCCAGAACTGGCATGGCCAGTCACATGGCCCCCATCGAGCCACAACAAGAGAATCTGAGAAGTGTAGTCTTCTCATCTAGCCGTGACAGAAATCAAATTGGTTTAACATGTACCATTGTCTTGCTACACCTACACAAGACTTTCTACGTGTCTACCTTTCAAGTGCTATTTATGTTAGATATGAATAGTAATCTGGATACCTGATAGTTATATCCTACTCCTGAGTGGAGGGGAGGATAAGGAATGTTGTTTATTTAGTGGCTGTCCTGGATCAAGAATGATGTCAGAGGGAGTCCCATGGTGGTCCAGTGGTTAAGACTCTGTGCTTCCAACGCAGAAATGCAGGGGGCATGGGTTCAATCCCTGATTGGGGGACCAAGATCCCTTTTACTGTGTGGTAGGGCCAAAAAAAGAGAAGGAAGAATGATGACCCTGAGATATTTGAGACATGAGAAATACTTTCGTGGGCTTAATCAAATCCAGTCCAGCTTCCAGCTCTAGTTTTCCGAGGTCAGGACAGATTCCTGTTTCATTCACTTGGGGCACCACCCCCAGCTCTTTGGGATCCTGTGAGAAGCCCAGAGGTCACAAAGTCTGGATGATGAAAACATCTGTGGGTCTTCAGTCTGTGGTGGCTGCAGCCCCCAGAACAGTCTGGTCAGGCTTGCGTGGTCCATGAGGAGACAAGGGGCTCCTCTGGGGACTTCCCTGCGCCCTGGCCAAGGTGGCCCAGGAGACCACACCAGTGGCTCTCAGATGCACAGAGTTTAGTGCTTAGCTCCACCCATCTGAGATCTCTGCCACCACCCATCAGCCTTGTACCAGCCAGCCCTGGTCCTCCTCCTTCCTGGGGTCCCCATAACCCCTGTGCCCTCACAGTCTCGGAGAATCTGACCTCCTACCCTCAGATTACCACTTTCTCTCTCTCTCTTTTTTTAATTGGAGAATAATTGCTTTACAGTGATGTGTTAGCTTCTTCTGTACAGCATGAATCAGATGCAAGTATACATAACATCCCCCTTGCTCTTAAGTCTCCCTCCCACCGCCCCCCCCATCCCACCCCTCTAGGTCATCACAGAGTACCAAGTCGAGCTCCCTGTGTTATACAGTAGATTCTCACTAGCTATGTGTTTTTAAACATGGTAGTGTATAATTCAAAACAACACATGTACCCCAGTGTTCACGGCAGCACTATTTATGATAGCCAGGACAGGGAAGCTATCTAGACATCCATCAACAGATTAATGGATACAACAATTGTGGTACATATATACAGTAGAATATTACTCAGCCATTAAAAGGAATGAAATTGGGTTATTTGTAGTGATGTGGATGAACCTAGTAAACTCTGTCATATGGAGTGAAGTAAGTCAGAAAGAGAAAAACAAGTATCATATATTAACGCACATATATGGAAGCTAGAAGAATGGTACTGATGAGCCTATTGACAGGGCGGGAATAGAGACATAAAAGTAGAGAATGAACTTGTGGACCCAGCGGGGGAAGGAGAGGATGGATCGAATTGAGAGAGTAGCATTGACATCTACATGCCAGTCTTCTCTTTAACAAAAAGCAGTAGCCTTCAACCCATCCCTCTGAGACAATCCAGCTTGATTGTCTCAATCAGACAGCCAGGGGTCTCAAGGTCAAGCGGCCGAGAAAAGGATGTAAGTAAAGGAAACAAGGAGAGTCACCACTCTGAAGCCCTGAAGGAGCCATGCCCCATCTCAGGAGGGCAGCTGCTCCCCAGCCCCTGTCATTGGCACCTGGGAAAAGAATGCATGCCCAGTGTTGACAGCCTTTCCAGAGATGCCAGGAATTCGAGCTTTTATGCAAAATCTCCTCATTTGTGAATGTTGGCAGCTAGTTCCATTTTTTTTCCCCAAAGACACTCTGCAAGCCCAAACAAGACATGTCTGCAAACCAGATGTGGACCAAAGCCTAAGTTTGTTCCGGGTGCCCAGACTTTCGAAAACAAGGTTTATTTAGGGGTTTTCTCCCCAGGCTACTGGCAGAGTTTGTTTTTTTTTTAAACTTCTCTATTTTTCTCTGAAACATAAAAACATAACTCCCTGTGCAAAACAGCAGGGTAACCTACGGCTCCAAAGACAAAGGTTTGGCTACCCTTTTAATGAGTGAGGAAAACACAGTTATTAATATCACAGTTTTGGACTTCCTTGGTGGCCCAGTGGTTAAGGCTCTGCCCTTACAATAATATCACAGTTTTAAGTCTCTTGTGTGGTCTATGTTGAGGTGGCGGGGAGAAGGAAGAAAAAAGAAATAGAACGTAGCATATTTTTCAAATAACACACCCTGTACTCAGTCGCTTCAGTCATGTCTGACTCTTTGGGACCCCCGCGCCTCCTCCGTGGACTGTAGCCCACCAGGCTCCATGGAATTTCCCAGGCAAGAATACTGGAGTGGATTGCCATTGCCTTCTCCAGAGGATCTTCCCAACCCGGGGATCAAACCATGGTCTCTTGCATTGCAGGCAGATTCTTTACCACTGAGCCACCATGGGAAGCTTAACTCATCCTGCATGAACTCATTCATCTTCATGCCAGGTAGAACTAGGTAGATGGAAGGATGGCTTGGGACGAGCCTTCTTGCCAGGCGAAATAATTTCCTTGCCAGTTTGGGGAGAGGCTGCACTGCCCAGCAGGGTGGCCGGGTGGGCTAATGTGGACTGGAACACCTGCCCACTTCCTGCTCAGAGCCCAAAGGAGACTCAGACCTGGACCTTCCCTGGGCAGGGGGGCAAATGAGAGGCCAGAGGAAAGTGAGAGTATCAGAGATGCTTGGCAGCCCCAGACTTGCAAGAGTCCATGCCAGAGTCATGGAAGAGTGGGTCCATGACCATGAGAGCATCGGGTGCCTTGACCTAAACAAACTCTGACTCCTGGGCAGCAACCTTCTGGTTTTTTAGATTTGTCCTCTCTATTTACCCTGGTGGCTCAGATGGCAGAGTCCACCATCAGTGCAGGAGACCTGGGTTTGATCCCTCGGTCAGGAAGATGCCCTGAATCAGGGCATGGCTACCCACTCCAGTATGCTTGCCTGGAGAATTCCACAGACAGAGGAGCCTGGTGGGCTTCATACAGTCCATGAGGTCTCCAAGAATCGGACACAACTGAGCACCTAACACCTTGACTGTCACACCTTCGTCCTACCTACTTCCAAAGGAAACTGAGGAGATTAAAATAAATGTTTGTAAAGCAGGAGCTCCCCAAAAGGAGCAAAGGAACGAAATCTCCATCTCTTGAGATGAGCAGGTTTTTGAGGCAGGGCCTCCACGTGGCTGTTAGTTTCCTGACAGCTCAGGCAAAAGCGGAACCTGTGGGGCGTGTGGTTTGTACTGACAACAGAGACTGCACCCCTGTCTGTAGAGACAGCCCCTCGGTTGGAGCTGATTATGAAGGGGAATTGATGGCATAGGGAGTGTCTGCCATACTTCCTGTGTTGGTCCCGGTCCTCTACGAAGCAGACAGGGGAGACAAGATTGGACATGCCAGGCTTCATGTGGGGAAACGCCTGTGGGACATAAAATGGACAGGGAGCTGGTGAGGGCTGGAGGAGCGAGTGCTCAGACTGTGCAGCAAGCCCAACTCTGAAAGAAGGAGAAAGGGAGGAAGGGCTGGGTGGAAATGTGCTAGACCGACCACGGGCTGGGGAACCCCTGAGTCAGAGTCAACCGTCCACAAAGCTTCCTGAGGACGAGCTGGTTTTAGAAGCCCTGCTGCTCTCCGTATTGGCTGGAAAGGGATGGATTTCACAGCCCGACAGCCCCAAGCTCCTGGATCCCTTAAACTCCTTGTAGTGGGAGAGGAGTTAGGTGCATTTTCGCAGCTACCACGCTTTCCAAAGGTCAGTTACCATCTCCAGAGTTTTGCCATGTCAGCACACTGCTGTTAAAGGAAACAAAAATTATCTTGACACTTGTTAAAATCCTAACGGGGGCTTCCCTGGTGGCTCAGTGGTAAAGAATCCACCTGCCAGTGCAGGAGACTGGGGTTCGATTCCTGCTCCAGGAAGATCCCATGTGCCAAGGAGCAACCATGCTCGAACGTCGCAACAACTCAGCCTGCGATCTGGAGCCCTTGAGTCCGCAGCTTCTGAGTCTGCATGCTGCAAGTACTGAAGCCGAACACCCTAGAGCCCGTGCTCTGCAACCAGAGAGTAGTCCCCTGGTCGCCACAACTGGAGAAAAGCCCACAGCAACAACGAAGGCCCAGCACAGCCAAAAATAAATAAATAAGTAAAATTATAATGTATTTAAAAAAAACCCTAAGGAAGACTTTATTCAAGATGGTTGCAGTAGAGGAGGGGGATGAGGCTCAGCTCTGAATAAGGCAAAGAAGGAAGGGGATTTGCAGTCAACACAGAGGGAGGGGTCGGTGGGTGGCAAACTACTAAGAAAGGACCTGAGGGCTGGGGGATTCTCAATAAAAGGTCCTAACAGGACTCTTGCTGGAGGCAGGTTGAGGAGTTACCCATCAAAGGTGGGGAATAGAGAACTTGATCATTGAGCCGGGGATCCTCGAACGACTGGCAGCAGGATGCTAAAACTGGGCTGGGAGACCAGGGACAGGACAGGGGCTGTGCTAAGAGCGTAGCGGAGAACAAGGCTTCGGGGATCCTGAGTTTGGTGGGAGAGAGTCTTTGTCACCTCCTGCCATTTATCTCATGTGTTTCTTTAAGTTGACTTAAAATTTTAGCTTCTTCATACTAGTTGAGGAACTAGTTACATAATTTTTCTATATATTAAAATCAGTGCAGAATTACTCAGATTTGGGGATCACCTATGTACCACTGAAAAGTGTCTTATGGGACTTCCCTGGCAGTCCAGTGGTTAGGGCTCTACACTTCCACTGCAAGGGACAAGGATTTGATCCCTGGTAAGGGAACTAAGATCCCGCATGCCTCGGGGTGCAACCAAAAGGAATCAAATGGGATTGTCCCACATATCTCTGGCAGTAAATATACCTCACCCTGAGATACTCTGGTTGTACAAAGAACACAGACATGCCAATCAAAAGGCTGTTTTCCAGCCCTGGCCAGGATGCAGGCTGCCAGCTCTAAGTTGATTGCTTCTGGGCTCCTTTTGAGGCTCGAAGAAGAGGCTAAAGACATTCTCAGGGAAAGAGGAGGTGGGGAGGGTAAGGCTGGGGCAGCTGAGCCTCAGAGCTCCCAGCCTGAAAGCCTCCCTGCCCCCGCCCCCTCCACCCCCCACCCCAGATGTGGAGCTGGATCTCCAGCGGAGCGTGCAGGCTGTGCTCCGAGAGCTCAGCGCCCAGGCCCCCGCCCTGCAGAGCAACCGAGGTAAGAACCAGCAGGCATCCTCCGTGCACTCTGTTGGCTCCCCTCCTACCCCGTCATCACCCCAGCCAGCTCTGCCCATGCGTTCTCGGGAAAGCGCCCCAACCTGGAGCTCAAAGGATGAGGGGGGCTTCCAGCCAAGCCCCCATCCTGCTGGAAGTCCCTGGGGCCTGAATGACCCAGATGCCTTCTCTGCCTGCTGGCTCACCCTCTCAGAGACCATGGCAGAGCCCATCTGGGGTCTGCCATCCTCTTTCTTAACCACCTTCTCCAACTCCCCTTGCAAATAAGATTCCCCTGGCACTCCAGGCCTGCAAGACTCCCCGGCATGTGGCTGAGCTCCAGAAGCCACGTGCACACACCTGTCCCCACTAGCACCCCACCTCTGTCCTTTCTGCCCTGGGAATTCACCGCCCACTGGGGTGAAGATCAGAGCTCCCCCACGTGTGAGAAGCCCACCCACGGGCTCAGAGCCCGGCACCCAAGGCGGTGCGGGGCAGGGTCAGACCTCGGGCTCTGGGGCTCCAGGTCTCAGGGTCCTGCTCAGCACCGTGCCCACCCTCTCCTGGCCCAGGCATGTGGAGGTGGTCCCTGCACAAGAAGGTTGAGCGGGATCCTGGGAAGAGCCCGGCGCTGGTCCGCATCCTGCTCAGAGAGCTGGAGAAGGTGGGTTCTTACTCAGAGAGAGGGTGGGTTCTCGCTCAGAGAGCTGGAGAAGGTAGGTTTTCGGGCTTCTGGGAGGGGATGAGAGGAAGAAGGGCCATGTCTGCCCATCAGCTCCACGTTCCCCGCACTCCGGTCTTTTGGTTTCTACCATATTTCTCCCTCTCCCGTACTTTCCCGTGGGCAATAGTAGCTGCACATTGATTCCCTCTGTTTGACCTGAGTTAACATCTTCCAGAAAGAATCTCTAGAACACCACCATAAATGGAAAACCCATGTCACTCGACAGAAACAAAAAGCTCCTATAAACATAAATGCATAACTACTAAGAACTGTCAAAGTTATAATTATCCTTCTCACCACCCAGTACTCTACCTCCGGGAAACGCTGCGTTCAAGGGGGCCTCCAGGTTGGGACTCACCTGTCCTTTGCTGCCAGCGGCTGCCCCTCCCCCATGGTGGGCCCTCTTCCCCTCCCCCACACCTGGGCTCCCGCCCCTGTGTGCCCTCCCCACCCCCACTGCTCTCCTGCCAGGGCAGGCTCCGGCCCCTTTCCCACAACCCTTGGCCTGGTGGGACACTGCCTTCCACCCCCTCTCCCACGGGGATGAGGCGAGTCCCCCATAACCTCCGGCCCCCTCCACGCCCTGCTCTCTCTCCTGTCTTCCAGGCAGAAAGTGAGGATGCACGCCACATCATCATTCCCTTGCTGCACACTCTAATGTACGTGCTCACTAAGGTGAGCCGGGGCTGAGGGTCTGGGTGGTCGTGGTGACCCGCAAGTGACTGGGCTAGACACCCAGGAGACACCAGGTCTCTGCCTGGCAAGCCTGGAAGAACTCTAGTTCCTCCCTTAGCCCTGTCCTTGCCCTAAGACACAAAGAGATGAAACTGGGGAGGTGGGGGGCAGGGGGTAAAGGTGCATCTCCAACAGAGCAGAAAGGTTGGGAGGAGAGTTGATTTGCTGGAGGAACAGGATGGGGATGAATTTCCATCTTGATAAATGTGAATGGAATGTCTTGCATGCGTGCATACTAAGTTGCTTCAGTCGTGTCCGATTCTTTGCAACCCCATGGACTGTAGCCCACCAGGCTCCTCTGGTCTATGGGATTCTCCAGGCAAGAACACCTGCGTGGATTGTCATGCCCTCCTCCAGGGGATCTTCCCAACCCAAGGACTGAACCCATGTCTTTTACAGCTCCTGCATTGGCAGGTGGATTCTTTATCACTAGTGCCACCTGGGAAAGCTGAATGGGGTGTCAAGAGGGGAGGAGTCTTAGAGATGATGGGAGAAGAAGCTAAAGGTGTAGACTTGGGAGGGAAGTGTGAGCCCAGGTCTGGCTCTTCTCCCATCTCATCAGCCCACCCCAGCCAGGGCCCTTTGTGACCCAGGGCTCTGGCCACCCTGACCCCTCCCTCTCACCCAGGCCACGGGCATCACAGAGGAGCTCCACCGGAGAACCTACGCCTTTTGCAAGAGGTTGCTGACCCTGCCCGCTCCCTACTGCACGATCGCCCTGGACTGCGCCATCAGGCTGAAAACGGAGACGGCTGTCCCAGGTGAGAGCACTCCCAGGTCCACCTGAGATCTCGCCTTCGTCTCAGGATTCCAGGCAGCTCGAAAGCTCCAGCAGCTTCTGGGAAAGTGGGGAGCAGGGGCCAGAGACTCGGGGACTGGTTGGCTGAAGCAGTTGCTCTGCAGGGACGCTGTACCAGAGGCTGGTCATTGCCGAGCAGAACCTGACGAGCGAGCTGTACCCCTATCGGGAGAGGTGAGTGGCCCCAGCCAGCATGCTGTCGCCGGGAGGACGAGACGAGCCAGGAGGCTGGACGGAGAGGAGCCCCAGCAGAGCTTCTCATTTGTCCAGCCGTGGGGGACGTCCTCTGGGGGGAAGGGGCGTCCTCCAGGGGGAATGGGGTGTGTCCTTCCCTGGAGGTCCCGGAGAGCAGTCAGGTCTTTCTTCTTGGGTTGGATTCAGAGCTCCCCCGCTCACATGCGGAACGTGGATGGAGCCCTGGGCCACGCTCTGTCTCTGTGGCTCCGCCTCCAGCCTGCCCGTGGCTGTGATGTAGCATCAGGCAACCGGAGGTGGCTCCAGAATTTCAGTAGTTTGGGCCACAATCACACCGTGAGGTCTGGGCTGTGTGTGTAGCCCCTTTTAATAAGATTGAGGACACATCTGTTGCTCTTGCTGGAGAGAGGAGCGGATGGGGTTGGGGGTGGGGCAGGGGGTGCAGAGTCTCCTCCCTGCAGGTACCTCTGCTGACCTGGTGCTGTCAAGGGCAGCCTGAGGCTCAGTGTTCATGGAAGTGTGGGGAGTGGAAGGGACCCAGAGGACCTGGCATCAGAGAGCCTGGGTGACAGTTGCGTATGGAGGAGAGAGCGGGAGGATTGAGTACGGAGGAAAGGGTGGGTGAGGCTGGTTTTCTGGTGTGATGAAGGTGATGAGCGATGGGGCTCACTTAGGGTTCAGAGCTCCAGTTGCGGTGAGAAGGATATAGGGTCCCTCCTGGAGGATATCGGGGTCACTGGGGCATGACACTGAGACGGAGCGCAACCTTTCAGTTGGAATTTCCCTAGACAGGAGACTAGAGGTCCCCAGAGGGACCAGGTGCCCCCCCAAAGGACTGCGCCTGCTCTTTGCCACAGTCCCCACCGCTCCCTAGTGTTATCCCCCTACAGACCTTTGAACTCGATGCTCCTGTTATTGGAGGAAGTAAATAAGTTGGGGGGGGGGGGTCTGCAAGGCTCTGAGGGTGCCCCTCCAGTGGCCCTCCTCCCCATGGTCATCCTCATCAGCCCCCGGTCCCCCCACCTCTGCCCTCAGAGTGTTCCTCTTCGTGGATCCTGAGCTGGTGTCTCCCTCCGTGTGCAGTGCCCTGCTGCTGGAGATCGAGGCGGCCCAAGGGCAGCAGACGCCAGAGGCCTGCATGCGCCACGTGGTCTCCCACGCCCTGCAGGCGGCGCTGGGGGAGGCCTGCCACGCAGGCGCACTGCAGAGGAAGCTGCTGGTAAGATCACTGCCCTGCTCACCTACATCCGTTCTCCTCTGTCCCGACCACCTTTCCCCCCTTAAGCCAAAATAAATACACATTCACTAAGGAAAATTTGGGGGGAAAATGCAGATGAGCCAAGAAAGAAAATAAAAATCACTCATACCCCTCTACTCAGTCATGTTAGCAATTAACATTTGGTATATTTCATGAATAATAACGATGGTGGCCATCATAAAAAACATGGTTTTTGTTTTCAAAAAATATTTTATTCATTTGGCTGCATCGGGTCTCAGTTGCAGCACACAGGATCTTTTAGTCGGGGCATGTGGGATCTAGTTCCCTGACCAGGGATGGAACCCAGGCCCCCTGCTTTGGGAGCAAAACAGTCTTAGCCACTGGCCCACCAAAGGAATCTCAGAACCAGTTTTTTGAACATCTCTTGGGTTCTAGGTACCATGTTAGACATTTTACATGTATCACCTTAAAATACCACGGACACTGTGAAGTGGATGTACTTATCAAAACAAAGGTGCAGAGAAGCCGATCGCCTACCTGCAATGACACAGATAAGAAGTGGCTATGCCTGAATGTGAACCCAGGTCTATCTGACTTCAAGCCTGTGTCTGGCTGCCTTCCAGCCCCACCCCTCCCCCATCCTTTTTAACACTGAAATATGCCATATGGAAATATTTCCCTTGGAAAGCTATGCTTCTAACGGGGAAGAGAATTCTCTCTCTTGAACATGCTGTCATTCCTTTAACTAGTTTAACTAGTCCCTTGTTCCTCTTGTGGGCATTTAGTTTGTTTCCTAGCTTTCCTTTCTGACTCCGCCTCTCGGTTAGCTCCTCCTAACCGAACCCTCCTACAATGCAGGAGACCTAAGTTCGATTCCTGGGTCAGGAAGATCCCCTGGAGAAGGGCAAAGGCTACCCACAGCAGTATTCTTGGGCTTCCCTTGTGGCTCAGTTGGTAAAGAATCCACCTGTAATGGGGGAGACCTGGGTTCAATCCCTGGGTTGGGAAGATCTGCTGGAGAAGGAAAAGGCTACCCACTCCAGTATTCTGACCTGGAGAATTCCATGGGATCCCAGAGAGTCAGACATGACTGAGCCACTTTCACTTTTCATTAGCTTTTCTCTCTGACTCAGCCTCAGCCCCTATCCACAGCCAAGACCACAGCCTGTAGAGAGGTTCTCTGGCCAGGGTGGCCCCAGGTGCTGGATTTCGTGGGCAGGGGAGGATGCCAGAAGGGCCAGTCAGAGTCTGCACGGGCTGGGGCAAGGTGCCAGCCCTGGGGAAGGTGGGTTGGCGGGTGTCTCTGAGGTGCAGCGCTGCCACTGCAGGAGAGGTCGACTCCAGAAGAGGGGTTACCCTCGAGGGGTCCATGATACACTGCTTGTCCTGCGCAGGAAGTGGGTGTTCTTTCTTTGCCCATCAAAAGGCACTGGAGGCATTACTCTTCCTCCTCTTGTGTCCATCTGGGATTCTCCATATCCTGAGCCCTACATCTTGGATCCTTCCTTTGGTTGGTGTCTTTTGCGTACCACTGTTCAGTTCAGCCGCTCAGTCATGTCTCTTTGCAAACCCACGGACTGCAGCACTCCAGGCTTCCCTGTCCATCACCAACTCCTGAAGCTTGCTCAAACTCATGTCCGTCGAGTCGGTGATGCCATCCAATCACCTCATCCTCTGTTGTCCCCTTCTCCTCCTGCCTTCAGTCTTTCTCAGTATCAGGGTCTTTTCCAAGGAGTCAGTTCTTCACATCAGGTGGCCAAAGTATTGGAGCTTCAGCTTCAACATCAGTCCTTCCAATGAATAATCAGTGTCGATTTGCTTCAGGATTGACTGGTTTGGTCTCCTTGCAGTCCAAGGGACTCCCAACAGTATTTTCCAACACCATAGTTCAAAAGTATCCATTCTTCAGCCCTCAGCTTTCTTTATGGTTCAACTCTCATGTCCATCCATGATTACTGGAAAAACCATAGCTTTGACTAGACAGACCTTTACTGGTAAAGTAATGTCTTTGCTTCTTATGCTGTCTAGGTCGGTCATAGCTTTTCTTCCAAGGAGCAAGCATCTTTTAATTTAGGAGCTGCAGTCACCATCTGCAGTGATTTTGGAGCCCCCAAAAATAAAGTCTGTCACTGTTTCCATTGTTTCCCCATCTATTTTCCATGAAGTGATGGGATCAGATGCCATGATCTTAGTTTTCTGAATATTGAGTTTTAAGCCAACTTTTTCACTTTCATCAAGAGGGTCTTTAGTTCTTCTTTGCTCTCTGCCATAAGGGTGGTGTCATCTGCATATCTGAGGTTATTGATATTTCTCCCGGCAATCTTGATTCCAGCTTGTGCTTCATCCAGCCCGGCATTTTTCATGATGTATTCTGCATATAAGTTAAATAAGCAGGGTGACAATATACAGCCTTGATGTACTCCTTTCCCAATTTGGAACCAGTCTGTTGTTCCATGTCCGGTTCTAACTGTTGCTTCTTGACCTGCATACAGATTTCTCAGGAGGCAGGTAAGGTGGTCTGGGATTCCCATCTCTTCAAGAATTCTCCACAGTTTGTCGTGATCCATGCAGTCAAAGGCTTTAGCATAGTCAATGAAGGAGAAGTAGATATTTTTCTGGGATTCTCTTTCTTTTTCTATGATCCAATGATCTCTGGTTGATCTCTGGTTCCTCTGCCTTTTCTAAATTCAGCTTGAACATCTGGAAGTTCTTGGTTCATGTACTATTGAAACCAGGCTTGGAGAATTTTGAGCATTACTTCACTAGCATGTGAGATGAGTTCAGCTGTGTGGTAGTTTGAGTATTCTTTGGCATTGCCTTTCTTTGGGATTGGAATGAAAACTGACCTTTTCCAGTCCTGTGGCCACTGCTGAGTTTTCCAAATTTGCTGGCATATTGAGTGCAGCACTTTAACAGCATCATCTTTTGGGATTTGAAATAAACCTTAAACTGTGTCAGTTGTTTTCTGTCATACCTTTTCCCTAAAAGCACCATCCACACCATTCCTTTGTGGTTGCCCACGTGCTTGGACCCACTGAGAGTTCTTGACTCACGCCTCCTACCTCACCATCCTGGACGTCTCTCTTTCCATAACAGTCCTTTTGGGGATTCACTGCACACAGCCACATGACGGAGGAATGTCCCCCCAACTTATACCACAGCCCCAGGCTGGTTTTATTTATTTATTTAGCTGTGCTTGATTTTAGCTGTGGCATGTGGGATCTACTTCCCTGACCAGAGATTGAACCCGGACCGCCTGCATTGGGAGCGGGGAGTCTTAGCCACTAGACCACCAGGAAAGTCTCCCCAGGCTGGTTTTAGCACAAATACCTAAGGCCCCCAATGTGGGCTGCTGTCCTCTCTCCCTGCACTTGGCCGTGGCTCTCGGGGAGAGGGGAGGGCACTCTGACCAGCCTTCCTGACCAGAGTTCGTCACCTGACCCGGAAGTCCCCGTGCGGCCACCTGCGGCTCTGCAGATGGTTTCTGGTCACCAAACAGGCCGTGGTCAAGTCGCCATTTTGACACAACAATGTCAGATATGTCAATGTTGCAGGAAGCGGGATCCCTTCCAGGGTCCAAGAGTGGACTCTTGTCCAGCGCTGGGAAATGAGTAGTCCAAGGAGACACACATGCTTACCCAGCAAGAGACTCTTGGGCAGGCACCCAGGTGGAGAGCAGTAGGGCAGAGAACCCAGGAGGACTGCTCTGCCACGTGGTGAGGAGGTTAGTTTCGGGATTGTCTCTGGCCAGTCAGCTTGCTTGGCCCATAGTCTGACTCAGGGTCCCTCCTGGTGGCACACCCATCTCTCAGCCAAGATGGACCCCAGTGCAAAGGATTCTGGGAGGTTGGTTGTCTCCACCCTGTTTTGGCCTCTCCTGAATTCTCCCGGATAGTTTTATTGGGACCTCCTGTTGTGAGACCAGTTAGGCAAGCAGTTCTCATCCTGCCAGGCCAAGTCGGGTTGTTTCAGCCCATGGTTCCCTAACATAAGAACATTGGTTTTTGTTTCTCAGTGATGGCAGGCAATAGAGCATTTCAGGCCTCACTCCATCCCTGAATCAGATGCACCTGGGGTACAGGGGTAATCGGCTTAGGAGTGAGGCTGGGCAGAGTTTGAGGGCATCGGGATGTGGAAGGATTGGGAGGTGCCCGGTCAAGAATGGGGTGGGGTTCAGAGCTGGAATTAATGGGTGCCTGCACTATTTTGCTACAGAAAAAAGAAGCTGAAAATGAAAGCTGTAATTTTTTTAAGCACAGTCAGCCTGTTATGCCCCCTCCCTCACTTTATCTGAGTGTCCATTTTAGGGAATAGAGAATGGGGGGAGGGGCCAAAGAAGTGCCAAGAGAGACACAGGGACTGCATCATCTATCTGAAGTTAGAGACCCTAAAAAGCTTGGAGTTAAGGGGTCCTCAAGGGTCCCCTGGCACCCCCTGCCCATTTTGGATGCACCCAGACTGAGGCCTGGCCTGGGGCGGCCCACTCCCTGAGACCCCAGCCTCCTTACCTGGAATTCTGCTCCTGAGGAAGCTGTAGGGATCCCATGTCCAGTCATATCTGCTGGCTGGAGGACAAGTGGGGCCTGGGAGAGGTGGCTCAGCGAGCCACGGTCTGGTGGCTAGGCCATATCTGGCCAGCAGACCACATCCTGTCTGCAGAGGGTCTGGTCCAGCCCTCAGGTAGGGAGTGGGGGAAGTAGACTGGTCTCCCCGCATGTCCACAGAGTCAGCTGACAAGGCCTCGAGGCTTGAAGATCAGCTTGGGACAACAGTCTGTCTCTCTGCACACTGCACCATGTTCTGCCTACTGGAGATGGGTGTCCATGTGGGGCTGCCCCGTGGCAGGTATCCACAAAGCTCGATCCTTCACTTCCTTTAAGCCTTTACTCAGGAATCACCGTTCACTGAGGCTCCTCTGGTCACACTATCTAAAACTTTAGCCCCTCCCCCAAATTTCGCATCCACTCCCTGTTTTATCCTCTTTTCATTACTGTTATTTTTCATACTGTACATTTCACTAATCTTGTTTATTATTTCCCCACCCCCACTCATGCACACATACAAAGAGATGCACTATAATATAAGCTGGGCTTCCCAGGTGGCTCAGATGGTAAAGAGTAAGCCTGCAATGTAGGAGACCCAGGTTTGATCCCTGGGTTGAGAGGATCCCCTAGAGAAGGAAATGGCAGCCCACTCCAGTCTTGCCTGGAGGATTCCATGGACAGAGGAGCCTGGCAGGCTACACAGTCCATGGGGTCACAAAGAGTTGGACACGACCAAGAGACTAACACTTTTGCTATAAGCTTTCACTTTCAATATAAGCTACATGGAGACAGGAATTTTTTAAATATTTGTTTGGCTGTACCGGGTCTTAGTTGCCACAAATGGGATCTAGTTCTCTGACCAGGGATCAAACCCAGGCCTGCCGTATTGAGAGCTTCGAGTCTTAGCCACTGGACCACCAAGGAAGTCCCCAAGACAGGAATTTTTGTCTGTTTTGTTTACTGCTGTACCCTGGCACTTAGAACAGTGCCTGGCACCTAGTGGGTACTTGGTAAATATTTAATTAATTCACTTATAATCAATTTGTAAGATGAAGCAACAAGATGAGATTGTCCCCAAGGTCCCTTCCAGCTCTGATTCCTTGTCTCTGTCATCACTTGTGTTCATTCAGTTGATCATTCAGTAGGTGTTTATTGGAGCCCTCAATAGTCAGAACGACCCTCTCTCCCTTAGCCCAGGAAGTTAAGACTTTGCTCAGCAGACCCCTAGCACAGAAGAGAGAGCAAGTCCTGCAGTGCCCACCTGTGTCACTTCTTTGGGTCCTGCATCCTCAGTGATGAGCTGGGATTAGTTGGGGAGTAGGGAGTAGGGACACAGCCCGAGAATGGTGATCCAGGGTGGTTGTCAGGTCAGGGTGGCAAGACTGTGCCCCTGGAGACGAAGCCTGCAGTGCTGGAGAGCTGTGGTGCCACTCCTTGAAAGAGGGAGGGACTCTTTCAAAACCTGTTTCTATTAAGGGGAAAGGCTCTGGTGCTTTACCCTTAGCCTTTTTTTTTTTAAGAATTTTTTGATGTGGGTCATTTTTATAAAGTCTTTATTTAATTTGTTACACTATTGTTTCTATTTTATGTTCTGGTTTTCTGGCCCCAAGGCATGTGGAATCATAGCTCCCCAACCAGAAGTGGAACCCCCACTGCCTGCTTTGGAAGGCGAAGCCTTAACCACTGGACTGCAAGGGAAATCCTACCCTTCACCTCTTTAGCACTCACTAATCTACCTTTTTCAAAAGAGAAAGCAAGCTTCCAGCTCTAAAGCCTTGGCAGCCCATAGTACCTGGCTAGAATTTAATAACAGAACTTTGTGATCATTCCCTGGTGGCTCAGATGGTAAAGAGTCTGCTTGCCATGCAGGAGAGCCGGGGTTCAGGAAGATCCCCTGGAGAAGGGAATGGCAACCCAATCCATGATTTTTGCTTGAAGAATCCCATGGACAGAGGAGCCTGGCGGGCTACAGTCCATAGGGTTGCAAACAGTCAGACATAACAGAGGGCCTAAACTTGTGATCATTATATTCAGCTTACTTATTTTCTATTTATGAGAAGTGACTGTAGCCTTTTTACTTAAAGCAGCAATATGAAGTTTCCTTTTGAAATAACTTTGAACCGAAAAAAAAAGTACACAGATTTAAAGAAAAGTAATGATTATAGGTGGTATGTCAAGGCATATAGGAGTATATGTATAGGAGTATATATAGTATAGGAGTGACATGTTTAGGAAATATGCAGCAAATAATGTATTGAGCACCTACTGTGCCAGCAGATGTCATAGGGGTTGGGGATGCAGCTGTAAACGAAACAGACTAAACTGCCACCTTCATGGAGTTTACATCCTAGTAAACTTCCTGGAGTTTACATCCTGGCAGAACATGATCCAGATGCTTGGTGACATTCCGAGGAGGGTGGGCGTCAGTGTCATCCCTGCCCCCCTGGGTTGCCAGTCGCCAGCTATCCCCCCACAACAGGAAGTGAGGGGCCGAGGAAACCCCCCAGCTGCAGGAAGCATCAGGCAACAACGGGTTCCTGGATGTGGGGAGCAGAAGCTTTCCTGGGGAAGCTCTTGCTGGTGTCCGGGGCAGAGGGGAGGTGCCACCGGGCCGTCGGTGCACCTGCGGACTGGGCGGAGCAGGGGTGGGTGAGTGCTGGGCCAAGGCTCAAGCTCTGATGCTCTTTCTCGGCAGGCCAGCTCCCGCCCCGCCTTGGAGCGCTATTTCCACGCCGTGGTGACAGCCGTGGAGCAGATGGCCAGAGAGCCAAGCCCTAGCCGAGAGGGCCACCTGGAGAGGCTGGAGGAGATTTACTGCTCGTTGCTGGGGCCGGCGGCGACAGCCAGGGGGCGCTGCGGCGGTAAGCGGCAGGCGCGGTGGGCTGCTATCCGGTCACCTGCAGGGGGCGCCAGAGAGCAACTCTAAACCAGCCCGGAGTAGGCCAGTGTGGCTGAAGCGGGGGTGGGACACACAGCAACTCCCAGGAGCCCAGGGCCTGAGGATGCTCAAGAACTTGAAGGTCTTGGGTTAATATGAAGGTGGGTAATTTGGGCATGATAACAGCTGACACCTACTTGGCACATCCCTACACCCCATTTGCTGTTCTCAGCAATTTACATAGATTAAATCAATTAATCCTCACAATAAACTACGTATGAAATAGAAGGCATTATCCCCATTTTACAGACGAGAAAACTGTGTTAGAAAGAGGCTATAAATCTTGCCCAAGGTCACCCACCTCCTAAGTAGTAGAGTTGAGATTCAAACACAGGCTGTCTGGTTCTTAGGTATGTGGTGTTAGTGGCTCAGTCGTGTCTGACTCTTTGCAACCCCTTGGACTGTAGCCCACCAGGCTCCTCTGTCTATGAATTTCTCCAGGCAGGAATACTGAAGTGGGTAGTCAGTCCCTTCTCCAGGGGATCTTCATGACCTGGGGATCAAACCCAGGTCTCCTGCATTACAGGCGAATTTTTTTACCATCTGAGCCACCCGGGAAACCCATCAGTACTTTATAATAACCAATGTGCTTCCCATGCGGGGGTCACAGGTTCAATTCCTGGTCAGGGTACTAAAACCCCACATACCTCTTGGTACAGCAAAAAAGAAATAAGTATTCTATAGTGCTTCTGATTACCACATGGAAATACCTATTCATGAAGCTTCCCATCCACCCAGCCCTATCCCCAGTCCCAAAGCTGGGCCAAGTCCTGGAGCAAACCTGGCTTTGCTCTTCTTGGGTACCACTTGCTAACTCAGCAGTAACTCTGCATGGGCAGGACAAGACCTGTCTGAACTGCCCCCACCACCTCTGCCATATCCAGACACCTACTTCCCACCCAGACTTGCCCAGCACATCTAACTGACCAGTGAGCGTCCCCGTTGACCCCTTGCTTCTAGGGGGCAGCATGAGACAGTGGTTATGGGCACCACGTCACGGGTAAAAGCATGGACTCTGAAGCCAGATTGCCTGGATTTAAATTCTGGCTCTGCCCCTTCCTGTGTGACCTCAGGCCACTTACTTAACCTCTCTGTGCCCCTGCCTCCTCCTCTGTAGTGAAGATACTATTCCCTGTGACCCTGGGTTGCTGGTAGGACCTGGTGAGATAATAAGCAAGTTAAGAACAGTAGTAAGTGTTCCGTGACTGGGGGTTGCTCTCCCCTGAGGAAGCCTGCAACCTTGTTCTGGAGGGAGCCGTGCTCTATGGAAGTTAAACCCTAAGGCAGCCCATTAGGTGTGCCCAGTGTGCAGCCAATAAGGTCTGGGGAGGGAATGACTCCCGGGGCTGGAGTGTCAAGAAGATTCTGGAAGGAGGAGTGGGGATCAGCTGGCCCTGGTCTCATCCCTGGATGCAGGGTTCCCACTGCACTTAGTTCCTGGCCGTGAGTCTGTAACCTCCCCTACAGGAGCAAACGTTAATGGAGCGTCTACTGCACCCAAGCTCCTATAGAAGGCCCTGAGAAATCCAGAGGCCTCTCCCCCTGGTCTGCTCATGGACAGTGGGGAGGGCAGCGTGGTGGCAGCAGGGCTGGGGGTGGGACCGCAGTGGGAGGGACCAACAGCGGGAGAAAATGTTGGGAAGGATAAAGTGGGCTGGCTTGAGAAGGGTCCTACAGTTCCAGCTAGGAGGTTTGCAGGAAGCAGGAGCTGCTAGGCATGCTTGGGTAGTGAGGGGACCAGCAGTGTTAGCTCCAATGAGCTGATGGTGGCAGAGAGGCAGGGGGACTCAGCAAGGCCAGACGTGGGAGGGAGCGGGGCTCTGCCATTTCCTCTGGGCCCCCTGACGGGAGCTAGGGGCGGGGGAGGGGCAGAAAAGACTCCCACAACCCTCTCCTCCGTGGTCTCCGCAGCCTGCTCCTTCCTTCAGGTGACCCCCTCCAGGACCAGCCACTGAGTGTCCCTCTGCCCAGCCCCCGCATCACCTTCCACCTGTGGACCGATGAGGAGCAGCTCTGTAAGTGCCTTGGACCTCCCTAGGGAACGGGCTGGAAACAATGCGGGATATGCACGTGTGTGTGTGTCTGTGCATCTGTGTGTTTATGTGTCCGTCTCTCGGTGTGCGTGCAGGTGTCTTTGTGTGTCTGTGTGTCCATTGTGTGTGTGTCTGTCTCTGTGTATACCTGTCATGTATGTGTCTGTGTGTGTTTATGCGTGTGTGTGCCTGTGTGTATCTTTGTCTGTGTGCCTCTGTGCATGTGTCTGTGTGATCGCTGAGTGTCTGCTTGTGCATCTGTTGTGTGTGCCTGTGTGCACCTTTGTATGTCTGTTTGCGTGTGTGTGTCTGTGTATCTGTTGTGTCTGTCTGTGAGTGTGCTCCTTGTCCCTTGAGTTGTCTGCAGCATCCGAAAAGCATTTTCTCTGTGTCAGGGCAGCCCTGTGCATTAGCCTCTGGTCACGTGTGTCCAGAAAGCGCCACACACCATGTTGATGCCAACAGATGGTGCGTGCCCCTAAGAAGGAGGCAGGCACCAAAGAGAGCAGTAGTTCCCGGAGCAGGAGGGGGCCCACACTTCCCCTCCGTGCTGGGGTCGGTCCCCCTTCCCCCACCCCAGCCCCTGCTCTTCTCAAGGCAGGGGGAGTCAGAGGGGCAGGTTGTGGTGGGAGGTGCCAGACTGGTGAAGCGAGTTCCAGGTCCACACCTTTCATGTGCTGGGTCCCCCTAGATGGGCTCGGTGCACTCGGGCCCTCAGTTTCCTCATGAGCAACAAAATGAAAGGCAATTGGAAAAGCCTGGAGATCTCTCCAGGAGCTGATGCTCTGTTGTCTGTGTCCCCGGGGAAGCTGCAGGGGAGTGGGAGCACGGGAGGGTGCTCGTGAGCCCAGGGGAAGAGGGCTCCAGAGTCCAGAGGCAGTGAGTGAAGCTGATGTCTTTGCGGCAGGACTTCTCAGCGCCTTTAGGATGCTCACTTGTGGTCTGAGTATGTGCGGTTCTCAGTGTCTGTTTGCCACATAACCTCTGTTCCTCCTCAAAGCATCTCATGGGGCTTCTGTTCAGCTAACAAGTGTGTGGGAAACATGGGACCCTGGGTGAGGCCCAGCCAGCCTGGTGTCCCCTCTCCACCCTGACAGTCCCCTTGGTCTCACATCCCAGGGAAGGAACTGGTGCTCTTCCTGCGCCCGCAAACCCAGCTGCGCCTCAGTGCAGACTTGGAGGCCTTGGATCTTCAGGGCCTCCTGCCAGACTGGGAGCTGGCCCGGGCGTCCATGCTGTCCACTGACAGCGGCATCGAGCGGGACCTTCCTCTGGGGGCCGACGAGCTGCTGGCCCCTGGCAGCCCCGAGGCAGAGCGAGCCGGGCTGCAGCGCAAAGGGGGCATCAAGAAGCGGGTGTGGCCCGCAGACATCGTGATGCCCAGCAGCTGGGATGGGCCCCCAGGGCTGCACCGCAGGACAGGCAGACCCAGCGGGGACGGGGAGCTGCTGCCTGGCGTCTCCCGGCTGCACACAGCGCGGGTGCTGGTGCTGGGGGATGACAGGATGCTGGGGCGCCTGGCCCGGGCCTACCGCAACCTCAGGTAGGGCCTCAGGGGGCAGCTGGGGATGGTTGGGACACAGGTGGGCCTGGCCTGGGCTGCTGAAGGGCGGAGAAGTGGGCTCGGGGAGGCCAAGACCAGGGTGGAATGGGGGGCGGTGGTTCCCTGTGTTCCCCCCAGACCCCACACCCGGCCACCATGGAGCACCATGCTCCCCGCTTTACTGCACCCATTCTACAGATGAGAAAGCAGAGGCTCAGAGTGAGCAGGCCAGTTGCCCAGAGTCGAAAAGATATTAAGTAACAGAGCCAGAAGGTGGAACCAAGTCTGTGGGAAGCCCAAACCCTGCTCACGCCTGTGCTCTGCTCCCCCTGCCAGGAAGCAAGAAACCCAGAGGTTCTGCCTCACCCCCCGACTCAGCCTGCAGCTCTACTACATCCCCCTGCTGGCTCGAAAGGTGCTGGACTCGGGGGGAGTTGGGAGAGGGGGGACCTAGGGGAAGGGGTGGAGGGCAGGGTTGGGGGTGAGCCCTGGGGAAGGGGTCAAGGGTGTCAGGAGCAGGAACTGGGGTCAGTCTTCCTTAGGATGTGGAGCTGGGGGCGACCTGGAGGTTTCTGTCCCAGAAGCTACAGGCATGGGCCCTGGGGGTGGCAGAGATGCCTTTTCACTGTGGCAGCCTGCTCATGACCCCATGACCCCATGGCTGATTTCCTTTTGCTTGTCTGATGGAATCAGTGGCAAGCTGATGCTTAAACAGGAGGGCCTCTCTCTCTTAAACACACACACACACACACACACACACACACTCCTACTCCTTCCTAGGGAAGACGAAGCTGCACTGGCAATATTTCCTTTCTGTTGCCCCCTCTGCTGATTGGGGAGCCTTAAATTCAAGACACTGCTTGTCTGTCCCCTTTAAGGCTAATGACCACTCTTCAGCGTCCCTGGCAGGCATCCTCGGGAAGGGGGGTTCCAGCTTCACCTCAGGTGTGAGACCCATCTTCACGTGATGCAGAAATCCAGGCCCTAAGAGCTTGAATAATTTGACCCATTCCCAAAGCTAGTTTGTCTAGGACCGGTACCTGGGAACTCGCTCCCCCCACCCCCTCATCGAGCAGGAAGAAAGTGCCAGAGTGGGCCTGACCCATCCTCCCTGACCCCTTGTTCGCAGACATCTGCAGCATCCAGGCATTCAGAGCTGGGAGAGTTGGCCGCATTCCTGGGCCGCATGGACCCGTGGTACGAGAGCATCGTCAACACCCTGTGCCCCACCATCCACAAGCTGGCAGAGATGGTAGGAGGGTGAGGGTGGGAGGTAGGGGGGGCATTTTCTTGAATTTTGACCCCAAGAGTCAGCCCCAAGGGGCCCCACAAGGGATAAGGCAGAAGAGGGGCCCTGAGGAGCTAGTGGCCAGAATTTATTACGTACCAGGTACCTTCCTGTTTGGACAGGACCACTGTGTGGAGAGGACAAGGGAAACATTCTTTATTCTTTATTAAAGTGTGTGGGCCAATGATATGCTTCTCACTGGAAACTTGTGAGTTTGCTGGGCTGCTTTGCAACGGTTGCAACAGTTAACGTTCCTGAGCACGGCTCCATGCCAGGCACTGTTCTAAGCATTCCCACTCGCGGCCCTACCAGCTGGGCATGTGTGTCTGTCTACCGGTGCTGTCATCACCACATCCCCATTTTACAGATCAGGAAGCTGAGGCACAAAGAGATTAGGTCTCTTGCCCAGAGTAACAGGCTGAGTCCCACTCGGAATAAGGCAGCTTCATTCCAAAGCATGTTCTCTGAGCCACAAGCCATCGTGCAGTCCCCAGGCCCAGGCAATGGTGAGGACAGGCAGGGAAGGGGCTCATCTTTCACCGATTTGAAAGGCCTTCTGCTGTCATATGTGCTGCAGACATTTTTTTCCCACTTTTTTCATTTCAGTCTTGTCAGAAGTGGGGTTTATTCTGACCTACAGAATTTCAAATATGTCTATCCTTTATGGTTTCTGCCTTTGCAGCCATGCTTTGAAAGACCTTCTCCATTCCAAGATTAAATTCACTGATAATTTACTCTAACAATTTTAGCATCTCATTTTTTACATTTAGATAACCTGTCTGCAATTAATTTCAGTATGTAATTTTATTTTTTCCAAGTGTTTAGGCTGTTGTTGTAAAGCTTTTTATTGGGTATACCATCAGCTTGAAATGCCACTTTTATCATTTATTAAAATTCTTACATATGCTGGAGTGTATTCTTTCTCAGTGATCTATTCATTTATGTATAAATTTGCACTTTTATATTTTAATATCTGGCATGATACATTTACACCATTACTCTTCTTTTGCAAAACTTTTCAGACTATGTTTATTTTTCTTTCCATATAAATTTTAGAATTCCATTGTTGAGTTTGTTTGTTTTTGGATTTTTCTTTTCTTTTCTTTTCTTTTGTGCCACACTGCAAGGCATTGGGATCTTAGTTCCCCAACCAGGAATTGAACCCATGCCCCCTGAAGTGGAAGCACAAAGTCCTAGTCACTGGACAGCCAGGGAATTCCTGTCAAGTTTTATTTTTAATCCCCTTGAGATTTTGATTGAGTTTTGGAGAATGAACTTAAGTAACCCTCTGGGGGTGTGGTATAACTCTTCACTTCTTAAAGTCTTTATTTCTCTCAGGATCAGTGTTCAGTTTTCATTTGTGTTATTTTTTTAGATTCCACATATAAGTAATATTATAGGATATTTGTCTTTCTCTGTCTGACGTACTTCCCTTAGTATGATAATCTCTAGGTCCATCCATGTTGCTGTAAGTGGCATCATTTCATTCTTTTTTATGGCTGAGTAACATTCCATTGTATATATGTGCTACATCTTCTTTATCCACTCATCTCTTGATGGACATTTAGGTTGCTTCCATGTCTTGACTATTGTAAATAGTGCTGTTATGAACACTGGGGTGCTGGATGGGTGTCCTTTGATTAGGGGTAGAAATCAGCTGGCAGGAAAGGCTTGGACAGTGCTGAAGAAACAGCCGGGTTAGTGCAGAGCAGGGGGCATTTTTGGAGTTTCTCTGTTAAGAAAGTGGCAGCTCCCACAACAGTGCGGAGGGAGCTGGCTGAGGACAGCCTCCCTCCCTCCTTCACAGCCTCTCTCCCTGGACACATCCCAGACTGTAGACCCCTTCATCCTGGATGCCATCACCTACTATGTTCGCATGGGCACCCAGCCCATCTATTTCCAGATCTACACGGTCAAGGTAAGCTTCCCACCTGGGGCTCCAAGGAGACCATGGCAGCCTGTTGGACCCCAGGACCCCGCAACCTAAATACCCTGGCTCCAGGGAAATGGGACCAGGATGCAAGTCATAAACTCATCCAGACATTCTTTTTTTTTTTTCCTATATTTATTTATTTTATTTCTTTGGCCATATCGGGTCTTCCTTGCTGCACATGGGATCTTTCGTTGCAGTTCACAGACCCTCTAGCTGTCGCCCATGGGCTTAATAGCTCCTCGGCATGTGGGATCTTAGTTCCCCGACCAGGGATCGAACCCATGTCCTCTGCATTGCAAGATGGGCTGTTAACCACTGGACCACCAGAAAAGTCCCCCATCCAGACTTTCTTGGTTGTTCACTTTGTCTTCTTCCTTTCTGGATACGTAAGAGAATCATTAACTTCTAACACCTCAAGCTCAAGCAGAAGCAGACTCTTCACGCGGAAGGGCTCTCTGTCCTTACATCCTCCCCATCATCCTTGCTAACCTCACCTCTTGCAGCAACTGCCCTCATCTCTGCTCTGCTCACCGCATTACATGATCAAGTGCTTCTCCAGGGTGTTCCTGTGATGCTCCGGGCCTCGCTCTGGCACCTCACTGCCACTTTGTCATGTACCTGCCGAAGCCAGTGCCTCCCCACCAAGACTCTGAGTCCCCTGAGATGAGACTATACTTTGTTCATCTTGAGTCTCCTGCTAGTAGCACAGTAAAGTGTGTGTGTGTGTATCAGAGGATGGGTCAGTGTGGGACTGGCTGTGTGCAGTGGGTATAGAGTTAGAGGCAGTGTGAGGTAGTGAGAAGTTCATGGCTCTGCCTCCTGGTCCCTCTGCATGCTCGCTGTGTGATCACAGCTACCTTCACCTCCCTGACCTTGATTCTCCCCACCTTTAAAAAAAATAAATTTATTTATTTATAGGCTGTGCTGGGTCTTTGTAGCCATGCTGGCTTTTCTTGAGTCGCAGTGATCTCTAGCTGTAGTTTGCAGGCCCCTCACCATGGTGACGTCTCTTTTTGCAGAGCACAGGCTCTAGGGTGCATGGGCTCAATAGCCGTGGTTCGTGGGCTCTAGAGCTCAGGCTCAGTAGTTGTGGCTCACAGGCTTAGTTGCTCTGTGGCATGTGGGATCTTCCCAGACCAGGGATCGAACCCATGTCTTCGGCATTGGCAGGTGAATTCTTTACCACTGAGCCACCAGGAAAGCCCCATTTTCCCCATCTTTAAAATGGGGAAAGCAATCTTCATTACAGGGTTTTTGTGAGAATTTAAATGAGTAGAAAAATATATTAAACGATTGATGGGGGAAGATGATGGCAAGGCGGTTGGCACATGGAAGATTTCAGGACAGTGGTGGGAGGATCAAAATCCCACATCCCGGGACTTCCCTGCTGGTCCAGTGGCTAAGACTCCATGCAGCGGGCCTGAGTTCAATCCCTGGTCAGGGAACTAGATCCCACATTCTGCAACTAAGACCCAGTGCAGCCAAATAAATAATAAATAAGTAAATATTTTAAAAAATATCCTGGGCAATGGGGGTTCCTGGGAGCTGCCCCTGGCAGGGACTACCTCCCCTAGCCTCCCTCCCTCTCCGCGGCCTCCCTCCAGATCTTCTCTGGTGACCTGAGCCAAGACCCTGCGGAGGACATTTTCCTCACCGAGCTGAAGGTCAAGATCCAAGACTCCAAGTTCCCCAAAGGTGAGCATCTGTCTCCCCTTTCCCAAAGCTCAGCCGACTCAGCTTCCTCAAGGCCCACTTCCAGAAAGCCCTCCCACCTCTCACGGCCCTGTCCCACCCACTCCTCCCCACCTCTGAGGAGCACCAGGGTGCCCTGTCCCCTGCAGGCTCGCCCAGCCCTAAGGGCAGCCTGGCGCCCCCTGAGATGCAGCCTTTCCGCTCTGGAACAGATACGGCTTCACCTGGGCCTCGATGAGGGAGGAACGGGGCCTCCCACCTTCATTCAGCCTCTTCTCTTCCCACAGATAGTTTTTCACCCCGGAGGAGGGGTGTGGCCGAGGGCCCAGGGGCTGAGCTGTCCATCTGCTACCAGAAGGTCAGTGGGCGTGGCGCCGTCAGGAGGTGGCCGGAGGTACCGCTGGAGGGAGGCAGGTGTCAGGGACATGGCGGGGAGCAGGCAGCAGACAGAGGGACCTTCTGCCCTTCCCTTGACACAGCCCCCAGTTTCCCGAACTCCAGAGCGTTTTGCAGGGATGGGTGGGTCATGACTGGCCTTACACACAGACGAGGAGGCCATCTGATGTGAGGAACAGGATGCTGTCCCTTTGTTCAAAAATACCCTCCTCCCTAGCTGACCAGATGCATTGGAGTACAGTCCTCAGTCTGGAGGGCGGAACGTGCCCCCGGGACTGAGTGCTTTGAGCCTTCGTCCTCTGGTTCCTTACTGGATGTTAGCCTAACCGGGGCTCAGGGCAGCAGTGGGAAGTGGAGAAGGAGGGGTGGGGGGACAAGCAGACTGTTGATGTGGCGATGTGTGCCCTGTCCTGAGGACCCCATCTGTCCCTGCGTCCCCCTCCCCAGGCCCTGCTCAGCCAGCGGACCCGGGAGGTCACTGTCTCCCTGCGGGCCACTGGGCTGGTTCTGAAGACCCTTCCAGCCAGTGACACTGAAGGTGAGGAGCTGGGCAAGCAGAGAAGCTGGTGCCGGAGGAGGAGAGAGGGTGGAGGACCAGAGATGGAGGGAGCGGGGGAAGGCAGCCTCCCTCCCTGTCCCTGGGAGAGCAGGAAGATGGCCCAGCTCCCACTCGTGCCGGGCCCAGGACTGGGCGCCAGGCTGCTTGGCAAGGCCCAGCCCGGCCCTCAGGTGGGTCACCGAGCAGCCCAGGGTGACGCTCTCCTGCCTGAGCAGGTATGAGAAGGGGTTAAAACAGAAAGGGGTGGTGGTCACGGTGGGTTCATGTCCTTCTTAGGACATAGCATCCCCAGCTGCCCTCCTTCCCTGGAGGCTCATTTACAACCCCGCATCTCACCCTTCCCAGTTTCAGGGCCCACTCACTGCACCCCCCCTGCTGCTCCCGACACAGACCACACGTGCCTGAAAGTTAGTGTGACAGAGATTGTGAAGACCTCCAACTTGGCGGGAAGGTCCTTCTCTGTAAGTCCTGGGGAGGAGGGGAACTGGGGAGATTCACACAGGGTAGGGTGAATCAGAGAAGAGAGCCTGGGGAGGGGGTGCAGAGGAGAGGGAGCCCCGAGCCTTTGTGAGCCCCTGCTGTTGAAACCAGTCTTCCTGTTGGGAAGAACCTGATTTCCAGTCTGTTTGAAATATTGAGCACCCACTGGCATAAGTAGGGCCCTGGAAGAGGTAAGGCCCCACCCCCATCTCCACCTGGACCATCTGAGGACCTGCGATGTACACAGATAAGTACAAAATGCACCCAAGTACTGTATCCGCTGCTCACAGCAGCCAGAACCGCAGCGGCCCAGCCTTTGTGTGTGTTTCTTTGTTTTTGGCTGCATTGGGTCTCCGTTGCTGTGCTTGGGCTTTCTCTAGTTGCAGCAAGCAGGGGCTACTCTTTCTTGTGGTGCTTGGTTTCTCACTGTAGGGGCTTCTCTCGTCGCAGGGCACAGGCTCTAGGGCACGTGGGCTCAGTAATTGTGACCCACGGGCTCAGCTGCTCCACAGCATGTGGAATCCTTCCGGGCCAGTGATCAAACCTGTGTCCCCTGCATTGGCAGACAGATTCTTAGCGACTGTGGCATCTGAGAAGTCCCAGCCTCTGACCAAATAAAACCTGCCCTTTCAACCCCACGGCCCTACCGCTGCCCTCTGCCCTTTGCTCTTATTGATACTCATAGAGATAGAGACATAGGTCCTGCCCATTTTGTCCTTATCTGATAGCCACTCTGGATGTCACTGCCCTACTCAGCTGGGCTTGGAGTGCATGATCACACCTGAACCGTGTTGTCAGAAAGCCTGGACTCCGCCTCTCACCTACCAGGCAGATGCTCCCTTTAGGTCAAGCTGCCTACGAGGTCTGATGCCCGAGTGTCTTGAGTGCTTCTGTGACATCCTGCATCCTCGCAGGTCAGGGCTGCCACACTCTTATCACCTCCCACCTCATCCCAGCCCTGGGCATCTGCCTGGTAGGTGAGAGGGGGAGAGTGATTCAGGGACTCTTTTTCTTAAACCAGGTCCTTAAATAGATAGTGTTCTCCACTTTGGTCCATGACCCACTTCTTTTCTTAGTCCCTGGGCTCTCAAAGGCTTTAGTCCAAGTTGTTAAGGGCACCCACATCTTTATCTCCTGCTCTGACATTCACCACTAAGTGTCTGACCCCTAAGTTAGCATGAGCTGGGTGTCCCACGACACCCCAAACTGAAGATACTCAAAACCAAAGGCAGTGCTTTCCAGTAGTGGAATTCTCTAGAGCCAGACTGCCTAGACTCAGATCTTGGGGCTCTCATTTACCAGCTATGTGACTTAGGCAAGAATCTCCAGTTTTCTGCACCTCAGTCTCACTGTCTGGAAAATGGGGATAATAATGGTAGCTACCTTATCTGGTTGTTGTGAGGACTCAATGATGATGACATGTAAAGGTTCTAGAAGAGCACTTATCCAAGTCAGAGCTGTATATGTGGTACTGTATTGTTTAGTCACTCAGTCGTGTCAGACTCATTGCGGTCTCATGGACTCTGGCCAGCCAGGCTCCTCTGACCATGGGATTTCCCAGCCAAGAATACTCGAGTTGGGTTGCCATTTCCTTCTCCAGGGGATCTTCTAGAGCCAGGGATCGAACCAGTGTCTCTTACATCTCCTGCATTGGCAGGTGGATTCTTTACCACTGAGCCACCTGGGAAGTCCCATATATGTGTTAGCGGCTGTTGTTATTTCATGCCCTCCTCCGCTGTGTCCATCTCCTGTCCAGTGAGGCCATCGTTAACCAGTCACCTTTCCCAGAAACCTGGGAGTCAGCTCAGATGCCTCCTCTTCCTTACTTCCTATTGTCTGCTGATGTTCTCTCTCAAATACTCTCATAGCCCTCCCTTCCTCTCCATCCTCCTGGTCCAGCAAGGTTGACCAGCTGTCCCAGTTTGCCTGGGACTGGAAGGTTTCCTAGGATCTGGGGCTCTTGGTGCTAAAACTAGGAAAAGTTCTAGGCAAACCAGAGCAAACTGGTCATTCTTGGGCCAGATTTTTCATCCACCTCCTTCTGGACAAACTCAGCAGCCCCCGTTGTCACACCAGTGCTCCTTCAGTCCACCCTCCACATGTCTGCCCGTGTGATCTTTCTAAAACAGACACATCACTCCATGCTTAAAACCCCTTGGTCATTTTCCTCTCTCCGGGCAGAAGGGGGGAAGAACTTCAGCGTTGCATAGTTTGGTTCCTCTTCCTCTCTATTTGCAGCCCCAGCCAGCCCTGCATGCCCTTGACACCAGGTTATTTGTGATACCAAACCAAACCTGGGTCCTCTCGCCCAGGTGCAGTAAAGCCAGTCTTCTGACACTGGGTTGTGGTGAAGAAAAGTATAGCTTTTATTGCAGGTGCCAAACAAGGAGTCCAGAGCAGCTGATGCTCAAAACCACCAAACTCCCCAAGGAGTTTCAGCAAAGCACTTTTAAAAGCCAGATGAGGGAGGGACGCCCTAGGGTATGTGATCAGCTGGTATACAACTCTATGATTGGTTGATGGCAAGGGAACGGAGTGATGTCATAGGCATTAACACCATCAATCCTTAGGTGCCAGTGGGTCTGGGGGCTACCTGCTCATGATTATGTAATTAATAATTATCATGTAGTTAATTTCTTCCTTTAGCATCTGTAATAAAACAACTCGGGAAATGTCCATCAGATACTGTGACCTAGGTACCTCAGAGAGGAGCCGAAGCAGAGGATATGAGGGAGAGGCCTGTTCCGGGGAAGGCCCCATAGCACCCTGCTCAGTTATATTTGGAAGTGTGCTGGCCATCTTTCCTCTGCGCCTCACTTGACCTAAAACCCCGTTCCTCCCTTTCTCTTCCCTGTCCTCCTCTGTTTCTCTTTCAAGATTAAACTCAGGTGTCATCTCCCCCAGGAGGCCCTTCCCTGCATATCCTCCACCCCTCTCCCCTGAGAGCTAGGGCCCCACGTCTGTGCCCGCCCTCCCCACCCCCCTCCCCCACAAACCCTGGGGACATGGCCATGGCAGCATTTGCAAAACTATCAGTGATGTGATCTCAACAATGGCTCTGTAGGGCTCAGGCCCTTCTCCATCCTCCCATCATTCAGCATGGGAACAGCTCACAGCAGGAGCTCTCCAGATGTCTCCAGATCTTCTCATCCAGCCTCCACCTCTGCAAGATCTCACCCCTAACCAGAGCTCCCTTTTTCTGGGGCAGCCTCTGACCTGGCAGAGACCTCTATGAGCTGAGAGCTCTGTACTGAGCTGAGATTTCCAGATAGGATGCTCTGTGTTTGAGCTTCGAGCTCCAGGGTGGACCTATTTCCTTTTCATGTATTTCCTCTTTCAAAGTCAGTTCCTTACAACGGTTTCTATTTTGAATGACCTCTTTAAATAACCTGGTTGTGGGATTTTTGAAAATCTAAACACCCCAGTGAGTTCCCTTTTACCTACAAGGTAGTTGCTAATAGTAACATATTTTTGTTCCCAATAGGTGAGAAACAAAAAGCACAGAGAGATTAAGAATCATGTCCAAGGTCACACAACTAATAAGTGGCAGAGCCAGGATAGGAATCTGGGTGCCCTGGGTGTGGAGTCTGTGCTTTGACTCTCTTCCTGGGAGATTCTTGCACACCCTGCCCAGAGACTTCTGGCAGCCAACCCTTCCAGTCCACAAAAGTCCAGCAGTAATGCCCGGATGTGCTTGACCTCCTCAGGTTTAGTCTCTGTTTGCATGCATACATGCTCAGTCATGTCTGACTCTTTGCAATCCTATGGAATGTAGCCCACCAGGCTCCTCTCTCCTTGGGATTTTCCAGGCAAGAATACTGGAGTGGGTTGCCATTTCCTCCTCCAGGGGATCTTCCCCACCCTGGGATCGAACTTGGGTCTCCTTCATCTCCTGCATTGGCAGGCAGATTCTTACCACTAGGCCACCTAGGAAGCCCTTTGGCGCTGTTGTGAAAGTGAAAGTCGCTCAGTCGTGTCCGACTCTTTGTGACCCCATGGACTATACAGTCCCTGGAATTCTCCAGGCCAGAATACTGGAGTAGGTAGCCTTTGCCCTTCTCCAGAGGATCTTCCCAACCCAGGAATCGAACCAGGGTCTCCTTTTTACCAACTGAGCTATCAGGGAAGCAGTTCCCTGCAGTTTGACAGCAGGAAGGTGGATCAGCCCTGCCTACAGTGGTGACCTTATCAAAAATGCCCAGGCTGGGCTGGACTCCAGACCACTTAGATCAGAATCTCTAATTTTATGTTCGGGAAAGGTGGTTCTATGCTTGAAAGAGGTGGAGACTAAGGCTCTAGAAACTAGTGCTCTGTGGTGGTGGATCACCCAAAGCTGCTGTCCACATGTGGAAGTGGCCAGTGACCAGAAAGGCCCTCAGCGCCCCATCTGGAATCCAAGATGCTCCACCTTCTCTGTCCAGGGGGAGGGGCCTCTCAGGAGCAGCAATCCCCGGCCCCTGCCTCCGTGCTCCCCAGGTCACGGGTTGGAGGGCTGCCTCAGGGCTGTTTTCCTTTGGTCCTGGGTGCATTCTGGAGAAGCCACAGGGCTTTAGGTTTGGAAGGTGGGGTTTCCCAAGCAGAGGATGGATCCCTCCTGCCTGTCACCGGTTCCCTGGTACAAACTGATACAGGCCTGGTCTGACTCACAGGAGTAAGTTGCCACTTTCTAGACCTTCTGTCTCTGCCCCAGGGAAATGATCTTGTATGCAATCCAACTAATAACTGGGGTCAGGGCTTATAAAAACCTGGAAGTATCCCCCAATTCCACACATAACACGCCTGTCATACAGGAGGTGCTCAGGTCACTGGAGCACCTGGTAGGGTCCAGCTGCAGCATCCCAGGTTGTTTTTGAAATTAAGGACAACAGGTTGGAAAAAAGAACTGCACAAATGATGGGCAAGTCAAGGGCCTGGGCAGCCTAGAAGCACTTTCTGCGGGGCTGTCACTGCTCAAGAGTCACTTGCAGAAAGAGAGATGGGGGCCCCCATGAACCGGGCAGAAGGTGTTGGCTGGGCTGTCTGTTACCAAGGTGATGCTCCCTGAGCTGTCTCTGTTGCAGGTGGTGACAAACACCTTCCGGACAGCCCACATCCAGATCCAGAGCCAGGACCGGAGGCTGCTGACCCTGTCGCTGGACAAGGACAGCTGCCGCACGTACAAGGATGTGGTCAGGTGAGGTTGGGCTCCACAGCAGCCAGCCCCTCCCCCTCCTGCCTCGAGCCCTGAACACCTTGAAGGGGGTTTGGATCCTGTGCCAGGCAGGTGTCCCTGATGCGTATGGACTCGGGTGATGGCTTAAGTCCAGGCAAAAGAGCACTTGAGTGGCTGAAGGTGGGCAGTCTCCTCTACAGACGCTCAGCCTGCAGCCCTTGACCCATCCCCGGGGGCTGGCACTGTGCCCCACCCCCCCACAAACGCACACACACATACACAGGCTGCCCTTCTGAGGCAGCTACGCTGCAGTTAACATGACACTTACTGGTGTCACCTGGGAGGTGTATTTGGGTCAGGCAGGCACACAGAGTGACCCACCTGGGCATGTCCTCTCCCTGTGTTCACCCCAGGCTGCTCTTTCTCGTTTTGACTCTTCCTCAGCTCTCATCAGTCCCTCCCCCTTGTCTATATCCAACAATAAGGGGTGTATTTTAAAGGTATATTGTCTATACCTTTAAAATGCCCAGGCAGATCTGACCCCTGAGATGGGTCTCCTGAGCTGGCCTCTCTCTGCCCCTAGGTTCGAGGTTGCTCCCTGCCCAGAGCCGTGTTCGGGGACCCAGAAATCCAAGGTGCTGGGGCTCATCTCCCACCGGCAGGAGATGGAAAGGAACAAAGCCAAGGCTAAGCCTCTTCTGATGCCCATCAACACGTTCTCTGGCATCGTCCAGTGAACCTGAAGGAGAGTCCGAGAGTGGCGGGCTTGACAGAAAGGATACACTACCCGTCCCGCCACAAGCACCCGCCCCAGTGGCTAGAACAAGGTTCCCTGGGGTGGCTTCCAGCCACATCTAGAAGCCAGAAAGTGCGACGGAGCATGGGGCGGGTGTGGTGGAGCAGCACCCACACAAAGGCCCGAGAAGGCCGTGACCAAGCTGTGTACACAGAACCCAGCTCCTCGAGCCCGCGTCCACTCCTGCATGAATTTCCAGTTCCCGCCTCTCCCGCTGTCTTCTCCCACTCAGGCTGAAACCAAGATGAGAGCTGCGGTCCCCGCCAGGGCCCAGCAGCCTGGGGAAAACAAGAAGCAGGCAGCGGCGGCCACAACCCCCGCTTCCCGCCCAGGCTGTTTCTTCAGCCTTGCAACCACTCCTAGGTGGGCGTCTCTCCCAGGTGAGAGGACATGTCAGATTCAGTAGATGCACACTAAAGTCTTTCTGCTTTCATCTAATACCCAGCAATAGTTGTATTTTATTTCATTTAGATTTTTTCTTTTTGGCCACCCTGCATGACACGTGGGATCTTAGTTTGCCAACCAGGAATCGAACCTGCGCCCCCTGTAGTGGAAACACAGTCTTAACCACTGGGCCACCAGGGAATTCTCAATATGTGTTATTTTAACAGACAGCAGAGGCACTTGGTCTAACCTGATGAATCCTTTTAGCTAGGTGAGAGTTTGGTGAAACGCTCACTGGTGTGTTCTGTCCACCTGCCCAGATCCCTCCTCATTCACGTTCACTGAGGGCCTCCTGACCAGCGCTATTGCCAAAGCAGAGGTGGGAATGCAAGTTCGTTTCAGAGGAGCCAGAGATAAAAGACATCAGATTTCTTGGCTTTGAGTTCAACAGTGTATATCCAGATGTTAGGTCCATACCCATCACCCGGGCATGGTGACTCTGGGATGGAAGAGTCCCTTCCAAGTTCGGGACCCAAGAGTAGAGAAGTAGGCACTTCTCTTGTGGCCTCAGCACCCCAGGAGTGGGGTGCAAGTCTGAGCACATTCTCAGAGCCTAAGGAGATGGTGAAAGAGGGGCCGCCTGGGGTGCTTAGGCAGATGGGCCCAAGAGTAGCCTTAAAGAGAGCCCCTGTGTCTCTGTGGGCATGGGAAGCCAGTTAGGTTTTTCACAGGTAGCTGATTGCAGACAAGCCCCAGGGGTCTCACTGTGAAAGGGGAGAGATGCAGCCATGAGGTGGCAGCAGGGACCCCAGGACCTGATGCCCAGATATGGACTGTGGATATCTTGATGGACACCACGTGGCGAAGGCCCTGCTCCTCATTGGCAGTCGACCCTAAACAGCTAAGATGGAGAGGTCAGTGAATGTGCAGTCCTCCACTGAAGCTGCCCCGTGAGGAGCCCAGGGAAGAGGGGGGAACTAGGAACAGCCCTGAATGTGACTAAGGTGACTTTAAACTGGAAATGACTGGCATCACTGAACATCACTAGATTTTCTTCTTCTGTCATTGGGGTGATATTAATTGATTCATACCAATTTGGGCAACAAGTACTAGATTCTTGAACTAAATGTTTGCAGGGTTTACTCAGAGTTAAGGAGGGCTCTGAGCCTTCCCCCAACAATCTCCCACCAGCTTACAAAGAAAGCATGTGGTAGACCAAATTCTGCTGCACATTTAGGTGTGCATTGGCAAGTAGCCCCCTCATCCTCACCCCCAACCAAATTAGGTGCTCTGAACGAATCTTGCTTGAAAAGTTCACCAAACAGCTCTTGTTGAGCACTGGGCCTTCCCGGAGTAAAGGCTGCTATTCCAAAGGGTTTGGGCTGCTGGAATCTCTGGATTCGAATACCCTGTTCACCAAGGGAGGAAATGCCTCCAAAAAAAATTATAAACAATCCATGTGACATGTGAAATTTTGCCAATATCTGTCAGGATAATTAATAAATCCACTTCCGTTGATCTAAGATTGTTCACGTGCTAGTATTAATGCCTCTGGAGTATGACTTTTGGATGAAATGTCAGCTAGCCACCTCTGCTGTGTGTATCCCCAAACTGGACAAAAAGCACTCTTAAGGATAATTTAAAACCATCCAGGGACTTCCCTGGCGGTCCAGTGGTTAAGACTCTGCTTCCAATGCAGGGGGCACAGCTGGATCCCTGGTTGGGGAACTAAGATCACACATGTGGCCCAAAATAAAAACCGATCCAGGACATGCATAATGTTGGTGGGGTCGGGGTGTGCTGGAGGGCTGCCTGGAGGAGCTGCCACCTCAAATCCTCCCTCAGCTGTCAGTCCCTCTCAGGGGATGTCTCCACTAGAGAAAATTGTGTTGCCTAAAGTCATGCCTCTTCCAGGCGCAGCTCATATCCAATCAGACGGTTCTAGGCCCTGGGGACAAAAATAGCACTTTGATTCTGATGGGAGAGAGACAGTCAACAAGATAAACCCCTGAAATAGAAGCCAGTAGTGTGTCTGACAGGGACTCTGCTGTGGAGGAAAATAAGCAGGAAGGTGAGCGGGTGAGCCTGAGGAGGGGGCAGGATTTGTCAGTGAGGGTGACAGGGACGGTTCCTGAGGGGGAACTGAATGGTCCTTAATCAGGGGGCCAGTGAGTAAACACCTGAAGAGTATGAAAGCGGGGGCGGGGTGTCGTATCACGACTTCCATTCTCGCTCCCCAAGTTTTCCTTGCCTCTAGCAGTTCAGGGAGGTAACTCAGCCTCGCGGGCGACCTGGGGCCCTGAGGGGCGGCCTGGAGCGCACCCCGCAAGCCCCAGCCCGCGAGCCTCCGGCACCTGCGCACGCCCCGCAGGTGTGTGCGGCGGAGGAGGCTCCGTGGGACGTGGCAGGTGCGCCCGCAGGTGCGCAGCCCCCGCCCCCGAGGTGCGGCGTCCTCCGGGCGGGGCCACTTCCGGGCCGGTGGCCGGACGTGGGGGCGGGGGCGGCCGTTGACCCGGTGACCGCGGCGCCGCCGGAGGCTGGAGGCGCCCTGCGGCTCGCTCCCCCGCCTCCCTCCGGGGGACAGGACGCGGCGGCCGCCGCCAGCCCGGGTCTGAGGGAGCCGGGCAGCCATGAGCGCCAACCCCCAGTGGGACATCAGCAGGGCGCTGAGGGTAGCCAGGCTCTTCCACCTGGTGTGTGGAGTCCGGGATGCCTGCGTGACCCCGTTCCTGACCCTCTACCTGCGGCAGCTGGGCCTGGCCGCGCCCTGGGTGGGCATCCTCATGGGAACCAAGCACCTCATCGCGGCCTCCTGGGCTCCTTTCTGTGCCTTCCTGGCCAGAAGCCACCAGAAGCGGAGGGTGCTCCTGACAGCCTCGCTGCTGGGCTCGGCGGGGGCCAGCCTGTTTATGGTCCTGGTGCCGCCCCTGGACAGAGACCCAGGGGACCGCCGGTGTAATGGAAGCCACAGCTTGACCGCCGAGGGCCCACCACCGGGGGTCGCACTAACTGTGACTGTCACCTTGGCCTCAGAGCCAACCTCCAACTCCGCAGCGGGGGCGCTCAGCCTCGCACTGGAGAGGAGTTCTGGGGTCGCTGGAACCCGTGGCTTCGGAGAAGGGCCTGGGGAAAGTGGCCAAGAACCTTTCAGTTATCCACCCAGCTCCTCCATGGGCTCCACCCAAGGAGCCAGGAACAGATCCGGAGTTCTCCATCCTGACACTCCAGGAGTCACAGGTTCTCCCCGCGAAGGTGCTTTTAGAGTGGTCAGTCCACCACTCCCTCTGTTTGCTGGGAGCACAGCGCTGGCGAGGCCAGCCAACCAGTCAGCAGCCAAGGGGGATGGCAGGGACCTTGGCCTCTCCTTGGAAGGGCTGCAGTGGACTTTCATCCTCTCGCTGGGCTCTGTGGTGTTCTGGGAGCTGCAGACGTCCCCTCTGGAGCAGGTGGCCGACGACAGCCTCTACGAATACTTGGATTTTGTGGACGCCACCGACCGCTACAGAAGCCTATGGGTGTGGAAGCTGCTGGGCACATCAGTCGGCGTGTGTGGCATCGCGGCCTTGGTGGGGCCGCTGGACTGCTTCCTGGCGGCCAGTGGCCCTCGAGGCGTGGTGCACTTCTATGGCTACTCCCTGGTCAGCGCCCTGGCTTTACTGGTGAGCATCGCCTTTCCCGTCCCTGTCTGCCGGCGGCTGGAGCCCAGCTACAGGACAGTCAAAGCCCTGTCCCTAGTGGTCGGCGACCCCCACCTCACCGTCCTGGCCCTCACCATCTTCTTGACAGGAGGTGCCACCAGTGTGGTGCAGAACTTCCTTTTCTGGCAGATGAAAGACCACGGGAGCAGCGAGCTGATCATGGGTTTCTCGGTGGCCCTGGGCTTGCTGGGGGAAATTCTGCTTCATCCTTTCAAAGCTCCGCTGCTTAGGAAGCTGTCCAGGGTGGGCACAGTGGGGCTGGGGCTGGGCTGCCTGGCGGGGCAGCTGCTGTATTACTCATTTCTCTGGAGCTGGTGGTCCGTCCTGCCCGCTCAGATCCTAAGCGCCCTCAGCCACGGGGCTCTGTGGTGGGCAGTCACCACCTCCATAGAGCACCTGGCCACTCCTGGAACAGAGAGACCCCTGAGTGCCCTGTTCCAAGGCCACGTTTGTGAGAGCGGGGCCAGCCTGGGCAGCTTTGTGGGGGGCTTCGTGGTGATGCGCTTCAGCCTGCCTGTGCTCTACCAGGCCTGCTGCGTCCTCCTGTTGCTCTGGCTGGCCTTGTTCCTGTCCATCCAGCCCAGACTGCCCCAGGAGCGGAAAATCAACTACTCCAAGCTGCTGGCCGTGGAGGCCAGTGACACAAGCGACTCTGAGCAGGGGACCGAACGGGACTGGCTAGTGAAGGCCATGAGGGAGGAGCACTCTGACTGCAGGGGCTGAGAGACAGAGCCAGGATGCACACTGGTCCGGGAAGGAGCCAGATGGATGGGCAAGACTCAGTCTGCTGAGGGCAAAGCCCACGAGTCCCGCAAGGCCGCAGGAAGCCCTGGGAGAGAGAAGCGTGTCTGTGCTGAAGCTCCACGGGGTCATCTCACTGCATGATTTTCTTTACTTTTGTAGTAAAAGGAGATTCATCTTTTGGCCATTCAGTCTTTTGAAAATAATGGTGCAAGAATACATTTGCTATAAAACAAAAAATGTTCCCTCTGTAGTCACTCTATTGGTGATGGGGTTTGGAAGAGCTTTGCATGGTTTGTTGTTGATTTCAGCTGTGGCTGAAGTGCTCAGATGAAGCTGATGGGGCCGGGAAGGCGATGGGACCTGCAGGATTCAGTTGGCAGAGGGGGCCACGACTTTGGTGAGTCACGTGCATTCCTGTAGATCCTAAGGCATGAGCCCTATCCTATAGGGCAGGTCAGGATGGTAATGAAACCAAACTCTTCTCTGCCTGTCTCTCTCTGCATTGATATACAAGGGCCATACTCACACCCAGATACTTAAGTCCCCAATAAGAGAAAGTGATGGGAAGTGTAATGTGTATTGGATGGATGTGGAGGTGAATAGGTTTTCATTCTTACTCTCCAGTGTGTGTGTCACCAGGAGTAGGATCCTAGACTCGTCTCCCATATTTCGGTCAGAGCAAAAGTCATTTCACGTCCTTTGGACTCAATTTTGCAGACTCTACCACGTAAGAGCACATGGAGATTTTTTGCATCTGCTTTGATGAGGGTGCGGCAGCCTTCTTATGGCCAGGATGCTACAGATGGTCTATACTACCCCCAGAGCCAGTATGCTACAGGTGGTCCACATGCTACCTGTGCCATTGGACCGCCCACAACAGCCTTATGAATCAATCAGAATCATCCACTGCATCTTTTAAAAATTTTACTTGACTGCATCGGGTCTTAGGATCGGCATGCAGGATCTTCAGTGTTCATTGGGACATGTGGAATCTTTTAGTTGTAGCATGTGGTATCTAGTTCCCCGACCAGGGATTGAACCCAGGCCCCCTTCATTGGGAGTGCTGTCATCTTAGCCACTGGATCACCAGGGAAGTTCCTAGAATGTACCCTTTTATGTCCAATTCCTTGCACTCAGCATAATTGCAATGGTTTCTGACACTAGCTACCTGGAGTCACACTGCAGGTTAAGAAGCACACAATTGCCCTCAATTCAGACACCAGCCACAAATTTGGGGGTCCCCAGGATCACTCTCACTTCTGACCAACTGGCTACAAATTTGGGGTTCCTACTTTCCTCCTCAGGTTCAGTAATTCACTAGAATGACTCCCAGAACCTAGGAAAGCACTGCATGAATGATTACAGTTTTACTGTAGACAAAAGATACAATTCAGAACAGCCAAGAGAAGAGACTCATAGGTTGAGGTTCAGAGAGTCCCAAAGGTGAAGTGGCCAAGTCCTCTCCCCATGGAGTCAGGACCCCTCACCTCTGAGCACAACGATATCCACTGGGGAGACTCCAGCATCTGTGGTTTTTACCAGGACTCCATTATAGCTGCATGGTTCATTGAGTCATTTAGCCACTGTCCACTTCCCAGAAGTCAGGCTGATGTCACAGGACTCAAAGCCCCAAACTTCTCTTCCAGCATGTGGTTGGTCTATCTGGCATGGCAGCCTTCTGAGTCATCTTATTAGCATTAGGGTCCCTCATTTGTCACTCCATTAACATAAGTCAGAGGCACATCCTGAGTCATCTCATTAGCATAAACCAGGGCCTATCTTTAGTTACTTCATTAACATAAACCAGGGGCCCTCCCAGAGTCACCTCATTACCATAAATACAGGTGTGGTCCAGAGAGACCCACCAAGAATAACAAGGACACTCATACCTTAGGAAATTTCAAGAATTTAGAGGCTGTCTTCCAGAAACCAGAGATAAAGGCCAGCTGGCAGGCCCAACAGAAAACATTGATACACAGTGATCAAGACAAGTCAAGCTGAATGTCAAGTGAGAAGTTCAAATAGTATTTCAGGAAGACCAGGCTAGGCATGATGGTTGAGTGCAGGGAGAAAAAGGAATGGAGATGATCAAATAGGCTTGCCTATTGAAGGAATGATCAAGTCACAAAGACTTAGACCCAAGATGTATGACTTTTACTCTAGTAACAAGCCATTGAATCAGTTCAGCTTCATACCATTAAAAGTAAATGAAATTCTTAGCTGGCAGAATCCTCGTGGCTACCAGAGATACTGAGTTCTAGCACATGTTTGTTCCAGCTCAGAGGAAAGTGAAAATTGGAAGAGCCGTTAACCTTTCTGCCCAGGCTGACTTAAACCATCATTTCCCAGGGGAGTTTTGCAGAACACTTGATTTTAGCAGGATGGGGGGTGGAGGGTAGGGGCATTAAAAAAGAATTCTGGGCTAAACAATTTAAGAAATGACGTAAATGATGTCACCTCTTAGAAACTTATAATACATGTGAGCATTTAAAGACTCTGGAAAGCCCGGTAGCCAACAAATTTGTTTAGCTTCGTTGGCCCTGTAATTCCCCTGACGTAACAGATACCGCAACCGGCTTCAGGGTGCACAGATCACTACCTTGCAGAACTAGTGTTCCCTCGAGGGTACTTTGGAAAACACCAGTGTTGGTAGTTTTCTGTGTGACCTTTTGTTTTTTTCCCAACAATTTTGTTTATGTTTGGGTGTGCTGGGTCTTCGTTGCTGCGTGGACTCTTCTCTAGTTTCAGCGAGCAGGGGCTACTCTCTAGTTGTAGTGCTCTGGCTTCTCATTGCAGTGGCTTTTCTTGTTGCAGAGCACAGGCTCTAGGGTATATGGGCTTCAATAGTTGCGGCTCCCGGGTTCTAGAGCACAGGCTTAATAGTTGTGGCACATGGGCTTAGCTGCTCCCAGGCATGTGGGATCTTCCCAAACCAGGGATTGAACCTGTTTTCCCTGCATTGGCAGGCAGATTCTTTACCACTGAGCCACCAAGGAAGTGAGCTTTTGGACTCAGGGAGAAATCTGGGCCCCAACCTGAGTGGCAAAAATCTGGGGTATCCATGCTAAGACAAAGCCATCTCATTAAGTCAGAGCATCCACTAATTTTACAGGTGAAGCAATTAAGGCTCAGAAGGTTAAAATTCAAAACCAGCCTTCCAGCCTCCAGAACTGTGAGAAAACATCTATGGTTTAAACCACCCAGCCCATGGTGTTTTATTATGGCAGCCAGAGAAAACTAATACAGGATGCAAAGGAGTGTCAGAGATGGAATCAATAATATAGCCCCTGGTTATTGATTAATAATAAAGTGGAGGTCAGAGAAGAAGGAGGCACCAAGGATCATGGATGACTTTGCAATTCTGAACCCATGTGATGAGGGAAAAGGTCTGTAGAAGTGGCAGAGTCCAGAGTGATAGAAAACCAGCGCCTAAATCATAAAAATGGAAGACAATATAGCAAAAACACTCCTAGGCCTGCCAGCTCCCTTATATAATGGATGACTGTCACTGAGCCCAGGGATACAGCTGTTTAGTGATACTTGTGATGTGGGGCAGAGCAGAAGGCATTCATAATATCCAAAGGCTTTTCCAGAGCTACGTTTAGGAAACCTGACTCTCTTTTCAGCTCTGTTAGGGAAATAGCTTGGAGACATGAGTTTGGACTGGATTGAAGTTCATCTGGATCCTGGCAGTCTGTGGTCTGTGATGGGAGGGTGATGTGGTGAGGTGGCTTCTGCTACAGAAGCAAAGCTTAACATATGACCCCTCGGGCAAATCACTTACCTGTTGGTCTCATCTTCCAAGTCTGAAAAACAAGATCTTGGTCTCTATGATCTTTTAAGTTGTGCCATCTGATGACATGATCCCTTCCTTTGAGCCAACGTCATGCTGCTTTGGCCCTTCTTACCCGGCAAAGCTGCATGGTGTCCTGGAACCCAAGGGATGTGGGTTCTGAATGTTTATTTTCATTTCTGAGTCTGGCAACAAGCCCCTGGTCTGCTGTGCAGCTTGGCCACGTGGAGCCCCAAGCCCCAGCCCTAGATGACCCCCCTGCCCTCAGAGCCAGGGTTCCAGGGCATGAACCCAAAGGCAGTCCCTGGGGGCTAGAACTGCATGCCTATGGGTAGGGGATCCAGGGCAGGGGTGGGATCCTGGGGCGGGTGGGTCTGAGATGTAAGGGAGAGGCCCAAGCAGGCACCTTCAGTGCAGGAAACTTCATCCTTGGTTTGTTTGTTCAGTCGTCAAGTCACGTCCAACTCTTTGCAACCCAGCACACCAGGCTTCTCTGTCCCTCACCATCTCCCAGAGTTTGCCCAAGTTCATGTCCATTGATGCCATCCAACCATCTCATCCTCTGTCATCTCCATAGCCTGCTGTCCTCAATCCTTCCCAGCATCAGGGTCTTTTCCACTGAGTTGGCTCTTTGCATCAGGTAGTCAAAGTATTGGAGCTTCAGCTTCAGCATCAGTCCTTCCAATGAGTATTCAGGGTTAATTTCCTTTACAACTGACTGTTTTGATCTCCTTGCTGTCCAAGTGACTCTCAAGAGTCTTCGCCAGCACCCCAGTTTGAAAGCATCAATTCTTGGCCCTCTGCCTTCTTTATGGTCAAGCTCTCACATCTGTACATGACTGCTGGAAAGACCATAGCCTTGTCTATACTAATGTCATCAAAATTCCAGCTTTGCCCATGCCAACCATTATAGGCTGCAGCCCCGGACTCCTGTGTCACCTCTGCCCTGTGCAAGGGGCGAAGGCATCCTCTCAGGCCAGAGAGGCCATTTTCTAGCTCCACATGGAGTATGTGCAAGAGGTGTAGGCCGAGGGCCATAAGGCTGCTGACCCAAACCAAGACTGGAAGTGAGGGGAAGGGGGTCAGCTCACAGTTCAGAAGTATTCCACCAGGGGGCACCAAACTCACAGGGAAATGCCCCCACTGGCTTCCTTGAGCAAACCCAGTCCCAGCTCGTCCCAAAGCT